AGTCTCAGCAGGGTGATGGTGGACCATTCGGAATGACAACTGCATCCCTCACTGTTTCAATAGCTGACACACAGATATGGGACCCCAATCCTGGATATTTTTATATCCCCAAAGAACTCCCAGTTACTACAGTTTTTCAGCAGATACCAGCTCAGGGTGCATAGGGGATAGATGCCCTTCACATCTTATGACCTCTGGGCCTTCTCTTTGCCTTTCCCTGCTTCCTCTAATTCCAGAAGTCATCAGGAAGATGCTGGAGGAAAAGGCAGAGGTGATACTGATAGCGCCTTTCTGGCCCAGGACGCCATGGTTCGCAGACCTGGTGACACTGTCCGTGTCCCTGACGGATACCACACGATAAGATCTCAGGAAGTATTGATGCACCTGGAGCCTCAGTGGCTCCAACTGACTGCCTGGCAGTTGAGAGGAGGGCCCTGAGGCAAAGACAATTCTCACTCAAAGTGATCCAAACTATTCAGGCATCCAGATGACAGTCCACTATCAGAATCTACAATGCTACTTGGCGGGCCTTCTGTACCTGGTGCTCCAGGTTGCACGTTGACCCAGCTACGGGCTCGGTGGCCCAGGTCTTGGATTTCCTAGTATATTTGACCCCTAGTACCATCAAAAGACAGGCAGCAGCACTGTCTTCTGTTTTATCTGTTGGGCAGTTAGAGTCCCTTTCCAAGCATCCCAAGGTGCATAGATTCCTTAGGAGAATCCACTGGTCATCGACAGGTACCCTACCTGGGACTTGTCACAGGTTTTACAGATTCTCATGGGAGGTCCTTTTGAATCCTTGTGATCGGCCACACATCGTTTTTTTATGTTTAAGGTGGCTTTCCTCATTGCAATTACATCGGCTAGGAGGATTTCAGAACTAGCAGCCTTGTCAGTCAGACAGGACCTGTGCATATTTCACCAGGACAGGGTGGTCCTGAGGCTGGACCCTTCTTTCAAACCTAAGATTAATATGTGGTTTTATATGGCCCAAGAGTTGGTTCTCCCCAACTTCTGCCCAGGACCTAGACATGTTCTTGAGCACAGGTGGTATACTTTGGATGTCAGAAGGGCCCTCCGTATTTACATCAAATGGACATCTTCCTTCAAGAAAGACGGAATCCTTATTTGTTTCATTTCAACCATCAACATTGGGCAATAAGAGTCTCTCCTTCCACGGTGGGAAGATGGATTAGGGCCTGTGCAGATAAAGCATATAAGGTTCAGGCCCTTCCAGTACCTGGCCGAATAACGGCTCATTCTACCAGAAGTGCGGCCACCACAGCGGCATGGGCGACACAGGCTTCCATTGAGGAGGTATGTCAGGCAGCCAGCTGGTCCTCCCCTTCCCCATTCATCGGTCATTATAAATTGGACAGATTCGCTTCGGCTGAAGCGGCCTTTGGGAGGCGAGTCCTCCAGAGGGTACATACTGCAGAGGGGACTTAGGATCAGATGCCTACCCACTTATGCGAGGGACAGGCAGGCTTTGGTATGTCCCATCCTGGATTCCCTTGATCCAGCTCCAGAGAGAATGGGTGTTGGTCCTACCTGAACACCTCTTCTACTGGAGGCTGGGAGAGAGAATCCAGTCCCACCCTTGTTATCATTTGGTCCACAGTCCAAGAGAGGCTCATATTTTTCTGGTCACACTTACTTCATTGCTATGCCTTCACCGAACTGGGGAAGCACCAGGTGAGGAAGGAGGGACTACACATGCAAATTATGATCACGTGCTCAGTCTCCAGGCAGAAGAAGAACAGAGCAACACCCATCCTGGATTCTCTCTCCCAGCCTTCAGTAGAAGAGGTGTTTAGATAGGACCAACAACCATTTACCCCCAGCAAGATTGGCCAAAATGTTTCCGAATAGGTCACCCGAATGTTGGAGATGCAAGTGTAAACAAGGAACTTTTTATCACATGTGGTGGACCTGCCCCAAAACGAGAAAATATTGGCTCAAAATAAAGAAATGGCTAGAAGAAATTACAAAACAAAAAATTGAACTGAAACCGGAATTATTTTTATTGGTCATATTAAGAGGAAACGTATGTAAAAAACTTCAATATATAACACTTCATATAATAACCATGGCCAGAATTGCCTTTGCCCAAAATTGGAAACAAGACAACACCCTCTCTAATGTAATGATAATAAGAAAGATACTTGAGTGTGCAGAGATTTGTAAATTAACTATGGGGTTAAAGGAGAAGAAACGGAATACTATAAAATATGGAATATATGGTGCAACTTGTTAGAAGATAGACGTAAAATTGTTACATAAGGAATATACAATATATGTATAGCAAAATGAAAAAATACTGTATATATCTGTAAATATTGTCACAATTTACAAATAGATAATTAAATGATTATAAAATATATAGAATAGTAATTATGTTAATATTAGTCATATCGATACTGAAACGCTGTAATGAGTGGAAATGTGGTTTTTAATGCTGAAATCTGTCTAATAAAAAATTATTTTAAAAAAAAATATATTGTCTCAGAACTGATAAGGCAGCAACAAGAGGAAAAGTTGAGACTCATTAGAAAGTATAGAGAAGAGCAGCAAATTCACACATTCCCTATTTCTCTTTAACAAAATCGTTTAATGTGAAAGGATATCTGTTGCAGAAAAACATTGCTTTTACTCTCTTTTCCAAGAGAAGCATGTGATTCTATGCAGTGTTTATATGGACAGTGCCAGCTTCTTGTAACAATCTGAAAGTTCCCTGAAGAGAGAAATGATTTTATCTGTGAAAAGCAAAGCTAAATATTCTCTTCTGATTTTCACTTACATTTACTCTGTTTCTGTGGGGAAAATTCTGTGGGTATTTCTATTCTCTAAGTTGCTCAATGTAATTCCCCCCCACCCCTTAACTTCTGTTGGATTGCACTGGGCTGGGCTGCAGTATAAAAGAGCCTATCCTTACTTTCTACATAACAGTTCCTTTCCCCAGCAGACTTCTAAAGAGCGTTTTCCCACTGTTACAAAACAAAGCACCACCTGGTGGACAGATCCGCTTTTCAACATTGCAAAGAGCAATATGATTTAAGCTTGTTCCAAACTCCTATTTCTGGCTTGAAATACACTTATAATATCATCATCATCTAGGTCTATTAGGGAGATTACTTTTAAAAAATTATGAGGAATTTAATTATTTAAATATCTAACATTATCCTGAGCCAGGAACAGTCCAGCTAGCAAAATCATGTGGGAATACTGCAGGGCAACTATACAATTAATGTACATATAACAGTTTGAAGCAGAATATATGTATGTCTGTGTGTATATGTGTATACGCAAGAAAGGCTTTCATTCTATCTTACATCAAATTGAAATATACTATAATTTTATCTTTAAAATGACACCATCATTTATTCCCAGTGTATCATTCACTTTATAGTGGTAAAGCAATGTGTTTGTAGCACCCAAAGAAAAAGAAAAGATCTACAGTGTTAATGGCAGACACTATGCAACCAGGCCAACTGCAGTAGGGAAAAGGGAAAAGGGTCAAAGAGGATGGAGTCAGCCAAAACTGTCTTCATTGCATCTTTGATAGTTGTTCAGCCTAGCTGATAAGATACTAAAATCTAATATTAGCAGACAGGAAATGGTCTTGTGACAAGTTTATAACACACTTTAGGAACAATTATTCTTATCTGCTGGAATCACACATCATTACTGATGCAGTAGTAGAATAATCCAAGTAGTCTTAATTTGGTGGGATTTGTTGAGGCAGAATGAAGATGTGGACAAAATATTTGGAGGAATGTAACTTGTGTCCTCTTTCTTGTGTCTAAGGGATTAAAAGCAAAAAAGAAAGCAACAAATATTATTTTACAAGTTCAGAGTCCCAACTGCCTTGAAATGCAGCTGTATGACTATATATGATTTAGAAATCCAGTCTAGTCCAAGTTTAATTTTGGCACAGAAATTAATTCAGATAGAAAATGAAATATTTGAAATGATTAAGAAGAGGGTCAAATTGAAATCAGAAACCATATTATTATTAATATTGAATGAAACAACATTAACAACTGGAGAAAGAGAATTGGTGAGGATTTTGGTTATAATGGGGAGAATTATAATTGCTAGATATTGGAAATTAAATGTTGACTTAAAATTAGAAGAATGGTATAATGAAACATGGAAATTTGCATTAAATGATAAATTGACTTGTGATATTAAAATTAGAAGTGGTATATACAAAGAGAATGTTTTTTGGAACACTTGGCAACCATTTGTGGACTTTGCACTTGGGAGATTGGATGAATCGGCGCCAGTACCTTACCAAAGAGATTTCTGGAAGAATTGAAGACTTCAATTTCCTAAAACTTCCTTTCCATTTGTATAGCACGTTGGGGGGGGGGGGTTTTTCTTTCTTTACTATTGATTTTTGTATTTTTTTTCTGTTATTCTTTAACTATAAAAATACAATAAAAATTTTTTTTAAAAAAGAAATTAATTCAGTTTCCTTGGTGGATAAAGTTTCTCTGAAAATAGTTGGGGAGTATTAATCTTCTTTGTTTTATTGATGAGTTTTGGTATCACAACTGTAATTTCTTACAATTTTTAGATTATCAAGCACATGTAAATCTGCTCTGATTATCAGATAATTAAAGAGGAAATACATATACTAGTCTTACCAACTCTGCTTGGCTAGATGTATTAACTATAAATCCTATAATTCCTGGCCAGCATAGCCCCAGATTTCCAAACTGCATGTTAACCGACATTCAGAGACATTGATCCCTCGGCTATTTATTATTTTGCTTCTTTTATATAATATATATAAAATAAGAAAATAATTATTTTCGGCTATTATATCCCAGGATATATCTCTGCTCTATCTTGCCTTGTTAATGAGGTCACATTAAAGAACTGGGAGAATATCAAGTTTTTTTTCTTATTGCTATATACGACATATTCTTACTTATCTGTATTGTCTTATCTACTGCTCCCTCTTTCTAATCCTTTTTTTTATATATATATAGATGTTGCCCCAGCACCAAGCTGTTACTGTGGATGGATCAGCTAGCCAACTCAGCCTATACACTTCTCCATCACTGCCCAATATCTCCTTAGGACTTCAGGCAACTGTCACAGTCACAAATTCACACCTCAATGTGAGTACAGCTGCCCCCTCCCACAAAACTTTATCGAAATGTATAGATATGGATATAGCAATTAAATGAAACAAATGAAATACTGAAATTAAGTAAATGAAAATAGAGTTCACCCTAGAACCCTCCCTACAAGTTTCATGTCTCTCTCTTTCACACACACACACATATACACACTAAGTGTGGCCATACTAAAGCATTGCCCTATTCTTGTGAAAGGGAAAAGCTAAAGAGTAGGTGCAAATTTATTTTGATGGGTTTGTAACCAATATAAATGTGGCAAATTAGAACATTTCAAAACATGGCGTTTATTCCCCCCATTTCTCTGTTCATTTCAGTAGGTGGCACTACCTGTCAGACTTTATTTTGGCTCAGGGATTAAGCAGAATCAAGCTTGATTAGTTCTGGGATGGCAAGATAATATCAGGGCTGTTAACTAGACTTGAAAGTTAAAAAGGTCCTTAAAAAAGCAGAGATAATTGTTGCCAAGAAAACAACATGGATGTATCCACATAATTCCAGGAATTGAGTTCAGTTGAAAAGATACTTTTTCTTCCTACCATATATTCATCTAGTTTGTAGTTATATTTATGGCAGTGGCCACTGCAATAGCATGTGATAGTGAGCTGTACACATTTTGTGTTTAATCGGTTACTGAACAATTTCTGTAAATAACTATTTCTATGTCCGCTTAGAGTTGGAAATGGATTGAAGGGGAATAAGAGTCATATAAGTCATCAATCAGAACATTAACAGCATTGTTAATGTATCATCTTTTTCTTGGTCTTCGTTAATCTTCTGGTCTCCAGCTCTATATTAAAGCACAACTTTATAATCTGAAAAACTTTCAATAACATGATGAGATTTGCTCCAATTTTTTAAAAATTAAAAATGTAAACATAATCAAAATGAAAGCTTAAAATATATCAAAAATTTAATCATTTATTTAGTCATTTCTCCTTAATATATCTAAAATTACAATTTTGAGACAGTAACTTTTAGAAATATATTAGAAACTTCATTCCAGCTTTTGGGGGCAATGGGTACCATAATTTCTCCAGCTCTGTATTAATACCTCTGCCCGGTCCTTGCTTCAGACCTACTTTATTTCTTTTCAGCACAATGGAAGGGCCCCTAATATTTGGTGAGCCAGACCAGTGACTATATATAATTTCCTTTCCTTTCTTTCCTTTTTCTGCTTTTAGAGCACCACTGGTCTCTGGGTTTTGTTTTCTGACAAGGAGCTGATACCAAGCAGTGTCCGATTTATTGCTTCTTTCTGATGACAGGCACCACATTTGGCTCAGGACCTGACCTGTAGCAGTTGTGCCCAGTTGACAGCTTGTCTATTTTCAGTGTCAGAAATTAGAAATAGCTCACTGGCAGATTTCATGTTCTGCTATTCTCTGCTGTGATTTGTTTTCCTCATCCAAGAGTAGTAAAAGACTTTATAGCTATGTCTGTGCTCCAGACACACAGATTCAGTTGAAATTAGCAAGTTCTCCAAACCTCTATTAATTAGTCTGGTCTGGAATTTGAATGTAATCATATGGTAGCCTGTTAATTTGTACTAGATCACTGTGCCCCAAATATGTCTACTGTATTCTATTATTCTCCCATTATATTTCTGAACTCATTTAAATCACATTTGTTTGGAGGACTTTGGGGAGCCTAAATTAACGATTAAGTGAAAGAGAAAAATGTTTCAAATCAACAAAGCTTCTGAAGCTGGAGTTTTCCTATTGCTGTTGTTCTTATTCCTAAAATCACTATAATTACAATTGGTACATATGGAGCTTTACAAAAAATAGAGAGAACAGATCTCTGCCATGGTGAGCTTTCAGTATAAAGTAGGCACAAGGCAAAAAGCAGAACCAGAAAGGTCAAATAAGGGGAGATAATGGATCTAATTGCCATAGATGTAGTTGGGAATTAAAATTGGGTACCCAGTGATATCTTAATGAGCCTAGGAATACTCAGACATTCAGGTAACAGTAAAGCTGGCCGTGGAATCGGAATCAGACCGGTGCAAGAACCTGGTGCACTGCTTGCTTACGTGGACCAGCCTTACTGTTTGAAGGCTGAACGAAGCCTTCAATTGAATGAGGAAGCACTGTGAGGCCAGGCCCTTCAAACCCACATCCAGCCCGCTGGAATTCACTGCACCAGGGCAGGAATGAGACCCTGTCCCACTGCTGCTTGGGCAGGGAGGAGGAGGAGGAGCAGAAGAAGAATGGCAAGGCTTTGTGCCAGCTGGCCAGGCAGGGAGCAGATCAGGAGGTGCTGACTGGCTGGTTGTGGAGGAGGCAAACATGGCTGCTTTGGTGGCTGCCAGCACCAGCAGCTTGAATGCCCTGACCGAACCTGGAATTTGGGGGGGAAAATGAGAGGTCCTGCTGTCCTGCAGAGCCCACTGCTCCTTGGATGGGGAGAAAAACGGCTGCTTGGGTGTAGACCTTTTCAGAGCTCTACATAACCTGGTTTATATTTTTGATGAATTTATGGGATGTAGTAGGAAGGATGCAGTTTTCTATCTACGTCTTCATTCAACTCATCTTTTCCTTCCGTTTATTGAACAACTAGCATGATTATGGTAATACATACTAAAAATGAAATATTCATAGCATTACTCAGACTAAGAAAGGAGTGGGAAATTTGTAGCTAGATATTCCTGGACTTCAAGAACTCTCCACTGCCTCAGTCACAATCAGGCAGTGGTGAGAGTTGCTGGAAATTAGAATTCAGCAACACCATTTCAAAAACACTTAACTGTGGGAATATTGTTAGGATAGAATATCTAGAAGGCCCTGGGAATATAGGGAAGAAAACAAAACCATTGCCTAAGAGATACCTCAGCCCCCGGAGGAAGGCAGAAGTGTGTGAAAGTGATTAGAACAATTCCTCTTAATTATGCTCAATATAACTTGAACAGTTATACTGTTGAACAGAAGCATTGCTTTAGCAGGCTTTTGAAATATTATACTTTATACTATTAGGAGTAAATCTCTTTCCAGAAATCTAAATGGTTCTTTTCTAAGTATGCTTGGCTGCAGGGTTTGACAATTGTTACTTGAAAAATTTGGTACCCCGGGGATAAGGAAGGGTAGATGGAAAAGAGGAGGTTTCTGTTGAGGCGAACTAAACATCACAAAGAGTGGAGATAATATTGCAGCAGAAATGCTGGTAAGAGAATTAATGCTGGCTGGCAAAATCTGGGATAAAGGAGAGATCATGAGATTGCCCACTTCCACTCCAGATTGTTGCTTCTCATGAGTAAACTGCAGAAACAAAAGTCTGTGCAATTATGCAATTTATGAATTGAGCTCATAGTTGTAACATAGTGTATATGGACATAAAATCTGCCCAATTCTCATTTCTTAATCACATTTGGAACTAATTAATTTATACCTAAAGAGTTCCTTTCTTTGTGACAGGATAATATTCCACTTGGTGGGTTATCATTTTTTTCTGGATTACAAAGGAATAAAGAGATTTAAGAACTTCTGGAAAAAAAGATTAATAAGGAGATGATATAAGAAAGTTTGAAATGGATAAAAGGGACAGTGATTGTGTATTTTGTAGTGAAAATGCTTTTGAATGCAATAAAGAAAATTAGAAGCTACTTTGTTTCTTTTTCTTTCTTTGCTTTTGCATTTCTAGCTCTTAATTTAATACCTTTTTTCCCATTCCCCCCTACTTCATATTTTATTTTATTATATCTGCCATCTGGACCTAGCATAGCCTAATAGCCCTCTTTGTCTTCTTTCCTTTAGGCCTCCCCAAATCTAACCACACAGCAAGAAGCAGAGCGCCAGACCATCCAATCATTGCGCCAGGGAGGTGCCTTGACAAGCAAGTTCCTCAGCATGTCATCTATTCCCAGTTGCCTTCTGGGGGTTGCTCTTGAGGGAGAGACCAATAATCATGGGCACGCTTCCTTGCTTCAACATGTCCTGCTTCTGGAACAAGCTCGGCAACAGAATACACTAATTGCTGGTGAGCAGGTCAAGTGTGAGTGTGTCCACAAGAGTTGGGGAATGGCATAGAAAATGTTCTAATTGTTGCTTGGAACAGCCGAGAAACAAGGAGAAATGGGATACCATTGTATAGCATTAAGTGGAAGTCAATAACATTTATTTTTTATCCTGTCTTAATTTTTTTATAAATAACTCAAGATGGTGAACAGTTCTAATACTCTTTCTTCCTCCTATTTTCTCCACAACAGCAACCCAGTGAGGTGAGTTGGGCTAAAAGAGAATGAGTGGCCCGAAGTCACCCAGCGGGCTTTCATGCCTAAGGGAGAACAAGAATTTAAAGTCTCCTAGTTTTAGAGCCTGGTGCCTTAAGTACTAGGCCTAACTGTCATTATCCTGTATCTATCTTAGGCAGTGCTGATAATTAACTAAATGTGTATCCATGATGGCTCTGCTTAGCTGCCAGAGGCAACTCACTTATGAGGCGTTTCATTCCTTTTTATTGGTTGTTCTCAGAAAAGAGTAGTACATAATTCTTCTGAAACAGAATCATTTTAATGGGCTGCTGATCAAAATGAGTAATTTCTGCTAAAGAGGGAAATCGGGAATCAAACATTTAAAGTGATTATTTCCAGCAAGAGGTCAAAAGTACACAAAGAGGACAGGAAATAGAGCAGATTTAGAGGAACACCTCTAAATATCTAGAATATATTTCAAAAACAAAGTCCTTCAGGTACTTAGCTGATGTTCTCACAATCAGCACATTAACATAGCAATCTCCAATATAATACAATCAAGATTTTTTTCCACCAAGGGCCTGCAGTCTACGTAGCCTCAGAACTCATAGGGCTGAGTTCTGGAGAACAAGCAATAACAAGGTTTTTGAAAGCCTAAAAATAAGTTTGTCAGCAGAATCCTTTTTCTGAAGCTTGCTACAGCATTATAACGGAAACAACTTTATCAGAGTATTAATGATACTCTATTTACTGATATTAAAGATCACTGCAGATGGCGACAAGCCATGAAATTAAAAGACACTTGTTCCTTAGGAGGAAAGCTATGATAAATCTAGACAGTATTTAAACAGCAGAGACATCACCTTGCTGACAATGATCCATACAGTCAAAGCTATGGTTGTCCCAATAGTAATGTATGGCTGTGAAAGTTGGACCATAAGGAAGGCTGAGTGCTGAAGTATTGATGCTTTCAAATTGTGGTGTTGGAGAAGACCCTCGAGAGTCCCTTGGACTGCAAGGAGATCAAAATCAGTCAACCCTACAGGAAACCCACCCTAAGCATCCTTTGGAAGAATGGATTCTGAAACTGAAGCTCAAATACTTTGGCCCCAAATGAGAAGAAGGACTGATTGGAAAACACCCTGATGTTGGGAAAGATTGAAAGCAAAAGGAGAAGGGTGCAGGCAGAGGATGAAATAGTTAGACAGTATCATTGATGCAATGGGCCCGAGTTTGGGCACTGTTAGGGAGACAGTGTAGGATAGAGAGGTCAGGCATGCTATGAGATCACAAAGAGCCAGACATGACTTGGGAACTCAACAGCAATAACAAATTAATGATACTTAATACTGATTCAAGTAATCGGTATTGCAACACTTAGAGAGGCTGCTTCAAATGCAGAACACAGTTTATCTACTTTATATTATCTACTTTGAATTGTTGAAATCAGGAAGATGGACACAGTTTAGTCTGTCAAGGGTAGATCTGTATTTCATGAGGACTGCATTTAACAGAGAACCCAGAGTCAACCAAAGTAGTCAGTTTTATGGTTATGAGTTTGTGATTGACTGAAAATTATCAGCCAGTCATATATTTTCAGATAGTATATCATATTACACACCAATCATGATAACCACTCTGTATGAAAATCCTAACTTTCTTCTTGTATGGAGCATTTATTGATTTGGGATTCTACCTCATGCCCACAGCTCTCCCAGAAATCTGATATTCTTACCTTCCCTTGTTTTAACCATGAATGTATTTGTAGCAGTGGAATGATCAAAGGCCAGATTATTTATCTTCCTGCCAAATACATGTTAATCTAAGGACCTTTTTTGTCCTGTCTTATCTAGCAATGAAACACTTCACAAATATTGAAATAGCAATAAAGATTTTTGATGGAGGGAAGCTTTCATTACAGACCAGATTGCAAAACTTGTTGTAGCATCCAGAAAAGTGCAAGCAATTTTTCTTTCTGGAATTGCAGTTGATTGCAAAGGGGATGAATGTGAGCAACAGTTTTGTGCTTTGAAAACTAGTTTTTATTAATTTCAGGGTAATTAAAAGAAGAATTTGGCACATTTTTAGACTATTTTGGGTATTTGAATGCCAAGACCTATGGCTAAAAGCAAATAAACGTTTGCTTTATTTATTAAAAATTACATTTTTTCCTCCTATAGACACCTCCGTAATTAAACAGGAAGGCTGTTTCAAAAGAGGAGGGGAATTTTTTTTTTTTCCTGGTCCCTCCACTTTCATTTTCTGAACGCACTGAAGAAAAAGTAGAAGACAAGGCTTTCCTTAAAATAGATCTAGCAGAGAAGCAGATCCACCTGCTTCCTGCTAGATCCCATCAGGTATTCCTGATTCCTTTCAACCAGAAATCTCAGGTTTGTGCTGTGTGACTTGTCTGGAAACGGCTAGAAGCATCGGAGGGCCTGAATGGAGGATCGCCCTTGTGGGCAGAACCAGAAATGGGAAAAGTGCAACGGGAAACACAATTCTGGGAAGCAAAGTCTTTGAGTTTGGGCAGTCAGTTCGGTCAGTAACAGAAGCATGCAAAAAGGAAGAGATGGAGCTGAATGGCAGGAAAATCGTGGTTGTTAATATACCTGGCTTTTTCCACACCCACTTTTCAAACACAGATATTGCTGCAGAAGTGAGAAAATGTGTGAAGTTATGCTCCCCGGGACTTCATGTCATTCTGCAGGTAACACATCCTGAGCGTTTCTCCCAGGAGAAGGATGTGGCCCAGTTGATCAAAGAGATTTGTGGGCTTAAAGCCAGGAATTACATGACCTTATTGTTCACCCGCAAAACAGGCCTGGAAGATGAATCTCTTGAAAACATCATACCTGTCATAGGTAAAAACTTGAAGGAATATATTGCTGAGTGTGGGAACCAATACCAGGCTGAAAGAGCAGAATGAGAGGGTCAGGTGGCCAAACTGATGGCCATGACTGATGATCTGATGCGCAAGAACAGATATGATCCTTCTATTACACAGAAGACATGATGAACTTCAACAAAAGACACAACTTTTTATTGCTTCCCTTTCCAGAAAGTTTCTCTAATTGAGCCTCTGTTCCCAAGGTGGCAACTCTGCCAAAGGCTACTGTCAAGTTTCAAAAGGCGATTTTACTGTTGCAACTATTATCACTTCTCAGCTTCCAACGAATTATGGGGGAAGGGAAGTGGGAGATAGAACTTAAGTTTCAGACACCAAGATGCCAGCCGTGAGAACCAAGGGCATTTCAGCAGGTGTTTACTAGACTTTCTCACTATAAAATCAGGAGACTCCATTGGACAATGTGACCTGGTCCAATAGGGGAAGGCAGAACCTGAACTTTATTTATTTTATTTATTTTTATTTTTATTTGATTTATATGCCGCCCTTCTCCGGAGACTCAGGGCGGCTTACAGTGCGTTAAGCAATAACTTGACCTAACTTGAGTTATGTCTATGTGGCTCTGCATGGGAATTAGCTAGATCTGGTTTTGCCCTCATCTTTGACCATACAATGTACTCAATAAAGTTTGTGGGGAGGGAGCCGCCATTGAGTTAGTGGCAGTGATAGGTAGTCTTTCTAATTGTAGCTTTGGTTTAATTTTCTTCTCTTCAAAATAAGGTCTACAGCCACCCAGGCAATTTTGCAAATAAATAAGTTGCAAATAAATAAATAAGAAAAGGTGATATCTAGTTACACGGCTTATGGCTTTTCATTTTTTAAATGAAATGTGATGCAATATTTTACAAGTGTCTTCCCAATAAAGCCTGGTCTCTTCATTCCAGTTCCTCTGCATGGCCAATCCCCTCTAGTGACAGGAGATCGCATCCCCTCCAACCTACGCACTGTAAGCAAGTTGCCTCGACATCGTCCATTGAGCCGCACTCAATCGTCTCCACTGCCTCAGAGCCCCCAAGCATTGCAACACTTGGTTGTGCAGCAGCAGCACCAACACTTCCTGGAGAAGCAGAAACAGCAGCAGATTCAACTGGGAAAGGTAGGCAAAGGAAGTTGTGACTCAGGCAAACATTTGTGTACTCTATTTGGACATGAATCTATGTTCTCTGGTATCCCAAGCTAAAGAAGTATATGATCAAAAGCAAAGCTCTCCCCCCCCCCCCCTTTCTGTTTGTCATTCAGCATACTCCAAACTACCTGGGACTGTTGAAATCTTCCTGCTACTGTCAGCCTGTATTTGAATAATGTATGTATTTTTCTCAGTTCCTCTTTACCCTGTAAGCAGCTAAAAGGACTAGAAATGAAGCTCAAAGAATCAAAGTGACCAGAACAACAAAACTATGTATTTAGTGTAACTTGCCTACCCCCACGGCTTCCAGGTTCTTGCTTCGACCTCAAAATTACTAGGCAATTAAAATGCAAGCAATTTTTCCTTTTAATTTTTTTCCGCTCTTGCAGATAATCACTAAGACTGGTGAGTTGCCACGGCCACCTACCACACATCCTGAAGAAACAGAAGAGGAATTGACAGAACAACAGGAATCGTTGGGGCTTGGTTTGGGCTTGGGCCAGGGGCCCTTTGTGCTGGATGGGTCGATAGAAAATGAAGGGACCCAGGATGGCTTGGATGAACAAGAGGAGGACGAGGAAGAAGAAAATAGGGCAGCCAAAGAGCAAGGCTGTCTCCAAATGAAAGATGAAGATCGAGTGAACAGGCTTGAAGAAGAACAGGAGGTTGAGGAGGTGGGAGTTACTTACAGGCAGGTGAGGCCTCTCTTAAAATAATGTATCATTAAAATCTATACTGAAGTTACAGGAAAGAAACTATTAAAACTCCAAAAGGCTTCTCCTCTTCAACGCCAAGTGCAGTATGGGAAGGGAGGCATTTATGGTCATCTGTTCATTTCCTCAGCAAGATAGCAAAGCATGTATGTATGAAAGCAAAGAACCTCTCTACAAGTTATGAGTCTTTGTGCCTTGACATATGCAAAGATGTGAGATTCAAACTTGCTTAGCATAACATATATTTTTAGGCATGGCAATTAATTCCTGGGCTAGCAAGGAAAACTAATAGCCCTTTTTTTCCTCCTCTTCAGTATGAGAAGACTCAAGAGAGGAAGTGAGATTCCATTATTTCACAGTTATGGGTGGTGTCTCCATTTTGGCAACACTGTTGACCAACTGGCATGGAAAAAACAGGTTGAAAAGAATGGAAATAACAGAGAAATCATGATTCTAAAAACTGTAGTGGGCATAAAGGCAGGAAATATATTTGGGTTATTTATGACAGATGCCCCAAGAAATATGGCTGTGATGCTACTTTTTGATATTTGCAGTGAAGTAGAAAAAAACCACAGAAGAGTGCAAAAGAAAGGTATGCCCCATTTGAATGATTAGTTGTATTGCTTGGGCACAAATATCAAGTAAAGAAAATTATAGTATGCTTTTAAAAGTAAAAACAAGCTTTTATAAATGGAAAACAATATTGCAGACAGTAGCAGCAGCCCCACTGGAGATCAAACATATCAATTCTCCCATTCATGCTGAGCTTACTGCCTTTTGAGGAAGACTGGATCAAAGTAGGAAGAATAATATAGTTATGGAAGAATAGAGAAAGAGGTTCATAGCACATGGGAGGTGTATTATAAGAAACTGTAAGTTTGGAAAACTAGTTGAATGACTATCTCTTGCTTCCCATTTTTCATCCCCATTCATCTGAGATAATGGAGCCTCTGAAAGGAAAAGTGACTCATCTCCTGCATTACAGTCACCTTTTCTGTCTCTCTTATCCTTGGTTTCTGAGCATACTTCTGGCTTCTGAACGTCATCCTGAGTCATCTGTCTTTTCGTTCTGTTCAATTAAAAATTTCATCAGTTCCTTACTAGAATGTGTGTTTGGCAAAGAAATAAAGGCCTTTCCTCCAGACAAAAGGTCAGCAAAGAAATCAGAATTGATTGAAGGAGTTCAAAAATAAAGTATGTCATAGGAACATTGAGGGGTAGCTTAGGACTCATCATGCATAACATGGCATAGGGGCTATTGTTAAAATGGATGCCACATATTTGGAAAATTCTTGATTTGAGTTTACTGTAGAATCCTATATTTAATCAGTCAAGCATAGAACACAACACCAGTCAAATGCAGGTTTGATTCATGTTGATCATTTCCCCACATATTCAAGCTCCGTTTCCCCCCAGTGTCATCCCATAATCAATTACAGAAGATAACCATACTTTGAAAATCTTGGCAGTAATGTAGAATTTGCAGCCTGCAATAATTGCTGAACATCAATGCCCAACAACCTCACAACATGATTAGTGGTGAGAAATTTTGGAGAATCTAATCTCTGCGAGATTAGTAATATCTGGGAGGTCAGAATATAACCCTGGATAATTTTGTGCTCAAAGGTGCTATGTTTTATCCTCTGTTCCTTCAGTGCATAAATTTGAACCATTGGATTCAAAATACAAGAAAAATATTTTTAACTAAACATTAGAAAGAATCTCTTGGCCAGATTATCTGTTAAAACTATGGAACAGACTGCCTCTGAAAGTAGTCAATCTGTTTTAGAATTTTAAACAGACTTAATGGCCATTTACCAGAGGTTTCCTATATTATCTTTGAAGTTTCTGCCATGTTTTCGATTCTGTGAATATACTCTATAGAATATTCACAACATGGTACCTTCCACATTTATTGTAACCATTTTTCAGAATTTCCAACGATCAAAGCAATTGGTCATATTGGCAGGAGATTTTAAAATTCTGCAGATTTAGGATTGCTGTAGTAGGAGTCAGAGGCTGTGTTCATAGATCACATTAACCCATGATCAACTGGAGGTGGTTTGCTTAATCTAATTGCCTAAATTAGCTTAGTAAGATGTATGAATCTAATTATTTCTCCATGGAATTTATAATCCCATTCAACAAATCAGGATGGCTTCCCTGCCCCCCAGGAAAAATTAAAAACTAATTTAAACAAATATATTAACATTGAAGATATTTGGGGGGGGAAATCCCATTGATGCTGCTGCGAGAAAGATTTGTTCTCCCATTGCTACTGGCAGAGAAATTAATCTTCCTTTGTGTGGGTTTCAGAAACAATTGAAAGAGGGGGGGCGGTTAGATCAGGATAAACAAATATTTCTTTTCACTTCCTATACTTCCTGATGAGTAATGTTTTGTGCTTGCCATGCCTAAGGGATTCAAGGCAACAGGAAGCAAATCTGGGTCAGATTTAGAAGTAAGCAAAATACACACAAACACCACACGAACTTTCCCTCCCACTACTTTCCTCTCATTCTTCCAGAAGTTTCTTAGGGAAGGGGCAGTGCATCTTTGCTTGAGATCTAAATTAATGTTTTTTCAATGAACTTTTCAAATTAATCTGGTCAACTTCGTAAGATTAGTCTACATCCGTAGAACTTGCTATAAGGTATGATTGATACCAGGCATATAGCTGTTTAAAATAAAATTTCAGGTTTTTTATGATTCTGAAATCTAATATTTTTAACAAAATATATACAGTTCTCTTTGGACTACGCAAAACAAGTTATTCTCCATAGTGATGGAGATAGCATCCAGGAATGGGTTAACTCCATCTGTCAGCTAATTGGACTGAGTCTGCAAGTTGTGATGACACACCTCCTCTGCTTGCAACCCCAGCTTTTAGACTTAGTCTAGCTTGGACAAGATGTGTTTTTTGAAGCTAAACCATTCCTGAATGCTTTCAATTCAACTTTTGCAATCCAGACAACTTGGAATAATCGCTATAGCTTCCCGTTTCAGCTGGTCGAGCCGCTCACTTATCCCAGCATGAAAGGCTTTTAGCCTGAGCCCGCTGAAGGCCATGTGGGTGGAAAAAAAGACTGCCGGCCGGCAGATCTGAAAGGGCAGTACTCACGAGCTTCGCTCCGAACCGCTGACCCTGGGGTTCAATTAATCAACCTCTGTTTTGGCCTAACTTTATAGTAGCTGCCTGATTGCAGCATGGGCGAAGGCAGCGCTCATGAGCCTGGCTCTGCAGCGCTACTCTGTTTCCCGTAAAATAAGACATCCCCTGATAATAAGTCCAATCAGGCATTTGAGCACATGCCCTAAAATAAGCCCTCCCCGAAAATATTTAAATGCACAGCTGGTTCCTGCCATTTCCTCTGGTTTCCTCCCTGTGGCCTAAAATAATAAGACCTCCCTAAAAATAAGGCCAAACGCTTATTTCGGGGTTCAAAAAAATATAAGACAGGTCATATTTTTGGGGAAACATGGTAGCCTTGGGGCATGAAGGAGGAATACCATGGCATTTTGAAGCCTGAAAAGTGCTGTCAGAGCTGAAAGTGGGTGAGTCACACAGACACCTGCTGCGCAGCCACACCCCCAATACTGATCGCAAAACAGGACAGCGTTCACGAGTATCATTCCACGACGCTGGGCTCAGGCTTGGAGGATTTGGATCTTCGCGCTTGGGGGCGGTGAGTCGTGGGACTGTCAGACGACTCCCGCCGTGCTGTAATCAGTCCTGCAAATAGAGCCCATAGTGCGATACGAGCCATTCTAGCCCCTGCTCGCATCCCTGGCATACTAGATTGCCACAGGCCACTCACCAGGCCACTCAGGCGAGCTATGCAGCAGGGCCCTATTAAACCAAAAATTCTGGGCCGGATGGTCCAAAATGGCGGGCGTATTTCCCGGGGATACTGCTTGCAGGGCAGGAACCCCGATGATCCCTTGCCAGGACATTGATCAGGAAGTGGGGCCCTCGGGATAGAGGCCCTCAACAAAACAAGCAGCAGTCTCACACCACTTGAACAAGCTGCCTAGAAAGGCCATTAAAGCCTCAGAGTGGGAGGCCAAGCAGAGGCATAAGGCCATTGAGAAAGCCATTGAAAAGGCTTAAAGGGAGACTGAAAAGAAAACCAGAAGCCTTCAGCGGTCCTGTTCCCAACCTTTTATCTCAAGGCAGTTAGAACTGCCTGATATTCAGGAAGAATTGCTAGCGGCAGCATGGTCCCCAGATGGCACCATGGAGCAGGCCTCTAATCTGCCCGACAACAGTGAGTTGCTCTTCGGCTGAATGCCGGAACCCAAGCTACCAGAGTCCACCCGGGAGCAACCTATAAGACAGAAGGTTTCGGCTGAGGCAACCTTCACGTCCACCACTGCAGGCCTTCGCTCGGAGGAGCGATTGGAGCCTCAAATCCCGGCCAGAATGGGAGCTTTGATCTCTGAGGCAATAAGACGGGATTGCAGCTGGGTTGCAATAGAGGGCAGCATCAGTGGATTCTGATTACCCCAGGGCCCAAGGCCATCATCGGGGTCCCATTTTTCGGGGAAAGCCCTACCTCCTCAGGATCAGGAATATTCTCTGGCCTCTTCCAGCCAGGCATCTTTGTCGGGAGAGAAGATGCAACGGGACCTAGACCTGTCTGATGATGAAGGCTTAATGCCTGACAAGCCTGCCTTTGTGGGTCTATTTCAGCTTCCGCTGTTTAGATCTTTGCTCTGAAGAGCAAAGAATACTACTCATCTGGGCACCAATCAGATGACCCTAGACGCTGCATCAGGGTTGGTGATCCTGCAGATCCACTTTTTGCAGAACCTAATATTGAGGCAGAGGTGGTACCCACACCCAGGCTGTTCCTGGACGTAGTGCAGCGGCAATGGACCTCTCCCGGGTCAGGACCAAATCCCAGTGGTCTGGATAGACATTTTTTCATTTTTTACAGACTTTTCCAGGGCCCATCAGGTTCCAACAGTTGACACCCCTGTAGTGGCACTGCCCTCACACTCAGTCATAGCAGGATCTCCAGAGGAGACACTTCGGCCTGAGGACAAAAGAGCGGAGCAGTTGTTGGTGAAAGCCTACCAGGCGGCTGCCTGGGCAGTTAAGGCCTCCACAGCTGCCTCCTTTTTTAATAGAGCCTCACTGCTCTTGTTGAGGCAACTACAAGAAAGGCTTCCAGCTGCTGACACAAGGTCCCAACAAGATCTTAATAAATTAATAGTGGCAATGGAATTTTCAGCGGATACCATGCTGAATGCAGCGAGATTCACGACCAAGTCCATCAGCTCGTTGGTGGCAACTTGATGTCTCCTATAGCTCCGCCAGTGGCAAGCTGATACCAGGAATAAGTGGAGACTGGCATCCGCCCTGTATTCTGGGGATAAATTGGGGACTCCCTGGACCCTGTTCTAGTCGAGTCCAGGGACAAGCGCAGGATTCTGTCTTCTATGTCCCAAAGAGCAGACTTATTTTCACCCCTCACCCTTTCAAGGGTGGCAGCAGATTAGGAATGCCACGCTCACAAAGATCCTTTCTTCCCAGGCAGGGGTAAGAACAGGACAGGTAGGGCAGGCAAGGGCAATGGTACCCACCCAAATGTCCTTTTGAGGTGGGAAGGGTTGCTCATTTTGACACTCGAGGTGACTGTTTCTCCAACCCTCCCATTGAGGGTCGCCTGGCATTCTTTGCCAGCCAACGGGAAAACATCACCACTGATGCCTGGGTCAAGGAGATGGTGAGGTCAGCCCCCTTCCCTGGAATTCCTCTCCACCCCCCTGAGGTATTTCATCTGATGTCCAGTGTCAAAGGATTGGACAAAGCGGCTCCTCATGGAATCGGCCATAAAACATTTCTTGAATATTCAGGTTATCCAACTGGTTCCAGAGGAGCAGCAGGGACAGGAACAGGGACAGGGTTAGGGTTAGGGTTAGGGTTAGGGTTTTTACTCCCTACTATTCATCACCCTAAAGGCCTCGGGGGGGATGAAGGGCAATTCTTGACCTCAAAACCCTGAACTGTCACATGCAGTCGCTCCAGACCATCTTAGCGAGCATCAGAAAGGACGACTTCCTCACGTCAGTGGGTCTGACGGGAGCCGTACCTTCATGTCCCCATCCTACCTGCCCACAGACACTTTCTCTGCTTCCATTATGCAGGGAAACACTACCAATACCGGGCATTGCCATTCGCCTGTCCTCCACCCCCAGGGTGTTCACCAAGTTGGTGGCCGTACTGGCGGGCCACCTCCCAACTCTTCCAATAAAGATCCAGTTTTATCAGGACGATATCCTTACTCAGTCCAGTTTGGAACCACAGGCGAAGAGGTCCTACAGGACCACGGCTTTTCTATAAATCTGACGAAAAGCCACCAGGTCCTGATGATTCGCTTGCTTCACTTGGGGGCAGTCATTGATCCTGTGTAGTCCAAGGTATATCTATCCCAGGAGCGTCAATCCAGCCTGATGGAATAGGCACTTTGTATCAGGAGAGAGCATACTGTACCACTACTACTTCTCTCTCAGCTCCTGGAAAAGATGGTGTCCTGCATTTCTATCACCCCATAGGCATGACGCCACAGCAAAAGCCTGCAGTGTTCCTCCTTCCGTATGAGAGATCCAGCAGGAGCAGTTCACTGACCAGAGTGCAGGTTCCAACAGAGGTGATCCTTTACCTCGATTGGTGGACGTCTGAACCATTTCCAAAGGCTGCTAGTTCAGAAAACCAGATCGCCTGCCAATGCCAGCCTATTTGGCTGGGGAGCTCACCTCCAGTCACGTATGGCTCAGGGACAGTGGACTCAGGAGGATCTGAGCTACAACATAAATTGGCTAGAGCTCCGGGAGATCCACCTGGCCCTCAGGATGTTCGAGGACATGGTCTAGAACTGGCACATTTTGGTCTTGATGGACAACATTGCTGCCAAGGCCCACGTCAACCGCCTAGGGGAAGATCCACTCCAGGCCTCTCATGCAGGAGGCCGAGCAGCTGGGCCTCTGGGCAGAGACTCATCTGCTGTTCATCAGGGCAGCACATATATCGGTAATGGCAAACGTGCAGATGGACTGGCTCAGCAGAGCTTCAGTCGACCACGTGGAGTGGCACCTGCACCCATCCCTGTTCCAGGAAATGATGGACCACTTCGGCCTCCCGGCAGTCGACCTATTTGCCACCCAAGACAACCGCCAACTTCCCAAGTTTTTCACCAGGTTTGTAACACCGGGGGCAGAGGGAGTGGATGTGCTGTGCAGTCCACAGCCTCCAGGATTTGCTGTACGCCTTCCCTCCTCTTCCACTTATTCCGAAGGTCATCAGGAAGCTGCTGGAAGAGGAGGTGGAGCTTCTGCTTCTGGCTCCCCACTGGCCCAGAAGGCCTTGGTTCGCAGATCTGGTAAATCTGTTGGTGGCTCGACCCTGGAGGATCCCTCAGAACAGGATCTCCCTCAGCCAGGGGGTGTTGGTCCATCCAGACTCTTAGTGGTTCCAACTGACCACCTGGTGCTTGAGCGGAGCCTTCTGAGTGGGGACAGCTTTTCCTCCAGGGTCATCAAGACAATTCAGGCCTCACTCAGAGCCTTGACAAACTGAATTTATAACACCACATAGAAGGCCTTTTGTGGGTGACAAGGGGGATTTAATTCCTATGGATGTTTCCATAGCCCAAATCCTGGAGTTTCTCCAGGAAGGACTGGATAATGGGCTATTGTGGCCCATCAACCTGTGCAGCTAGTAGCTGATTCACACCAGCTGAGGAGCCTGGTGTGGTGCTGCGCCAGCAGCCTGGGCAGCTGGCACTCGAGTCAGACAATGAGGAGGCTGAAGAAGATGTGGTGCCAGAGGCGGGAATTCAGCCAGGGCCTTCAGAAGCTCCCTTAAGGGAAGAGGACGAAGAGGAGGAGCCTCTTCTCGATGCATGGGCACGCAGAGCTGCCAAAAGGCAGGAGTGGCTCCTCAGGAGGAGGTCTCTTCGAGAGTAAGGCTTGGGGCTAATTGGCCACTCCCTTGGCCTATTTAAGGAGGAATGCCAACTGAAGCAATTTGCAATTCATTAACATATCTTCGTATCTTGTCCTGCTTATTTTATCGGCTTCCTGCAAATTGCTTCTGGGCATTCTGCCAACCACAGTAAGCTTTCGGTATTATTCTTTGAATTCTTGGCGGCTGTTAATGCAGTTAAGTAACAGCCGTTGTTGTAAAAAAACTGGTTTATTTAGTAAACTAAGGTTTGAACAGACTTTGTGTGTGCTGCGTTCTTTGGAGTCCATAGCTGGGGCAGAACATGGGCTATCTCCAAATAAGATCAGGTGGCAGCCTTGTCCTCCGTTTTGACATGTGAAGCTGTGGACTCCCTCTCCCAGCACTCCATGGTTCATCAATTCCCCAGGGGAACGACCAACCTCAGGCCACTGAGGGTGCATTGGTTCCTGACATGGGACCTGGCCAAAGTCCTAAACTCCCTTACAGGGCCTCCTTTGAGCCTTTGAAAGAAGCCAGCCTGCACTACCTTATGTGTAAGGTGGTGTTTTTGGTGGCAATCACATCAGCCAGGCGAATCTCAGAGCTGGCAGCTCTGTCGGTACAGAAAGACCTTTGTATATTCCATTCTGATAGAGTGGTTTTGGGCAGCTGGCACTCGAGTCAGACAATGAGGAGGCTGAAGAAGATGTGGTGCTAAGGTGAACGCTTGGTTCCACACAGCTCAGGAACTGGTGCTGCTGAACTTCTGCCCTGAGCCAGTCTGCCGATTGGAACATAGGTAGCACACTTTGGATGTGCGGAGGGCCCTTTGCATATATATCAAAAGGACTTCCTCCTGCGGAGGACAGAATCCCTGTTTGTCTCTTTCCAACCTGCCACGCTGGGAAACAGGGTTACCCCCTCAACCTTGGGAAGGTGGATTAGGGCGTGTATTGCTAAGGCCTATGAGATCCAGGACTTGCCGGTGCCGCAGCAAGTAACCACCCACTCTATCTGGAGCATGGCCACCACTGCGGTGTGGGCAACGCAGGCCTCTATAGAGGAGGTCTGTCGAGTGGCTACCTGGTCCTCGCCGTCCTCTTTTATCTGCCATTATAAGTTGGACACCTACGCCTCAGCTGAGGCAGCCTTTACCAGGTGGGTGCTTCAGAGTGTCCACATAGAGCAGGGAACTTCGGACCGGACCGCACCTCACCCATAGGACAGCCGGCTTTGGTGTGTCCCATTCCTGGATGCTATCTCCCCCACTATGGAGAAGGGGCGTTGGTATTACCTGAGACGCTCCTTCTCGTTGTAAAGTAAAAAAAAAAAAAAAAAAGCAATTGTCAGTGAGAATTAGCTTCCTCATAAATACTATATGTTGGGCTAAATAAGGCAGTTTTTTAAAAGCTGGTGAAATATTGAAGTGATTTTTTGATGTTTTTCTTTTTGTTTCTCTCTGACTACTATTCCTATGAAATGTACAGGTATTCGCTGATGCGCATCAACTAAGATCTCTGCAGCTCTATCAAACTCCCCTGAGCATCAGCACTGTACCCCATCAAGCCCTTAGCCGTACCCAGTCTTCACCTGCTAGCACTAGTCTGAAGAACAGTACACCTGAGCCATTGGTCCATCACCTTTTCACTACAGGTAGGTGAAGAACTTCTTTTCCCGGAGCTTGGAAGACAGGAAGATCGTTGTCTTGCTGGGCATGAATAAACTGCTTAGAAAGTACATCTCCTATCCTGAAATTTTCTTTGTCAGATATGTAAGAGATTCTGCAAATGTTCTCCTTTATTATCACATCCAGTCCCTAGTGTCCAGGAACTAAATATTGTCTCTGCTTTATTCTTTACTTTAGGGCACAACAGGATTGTATCTTGAATCTCAAATCAGTTTGGTTCATTGAGAGAAGATTGCCAGTTTGGTAGTTTTAACTGGACTTGTTTTATTACTGTTTTATTTTATTTGATGAGGATTTAAGGTGTCTGTCAGTCAAAATTTTAAAACTTAAATAAAATTAGATGTTAATCAGTATCCAAAGCATGTAGAAAGAAATACTTCTCTAGCATCCTTCTTAAAGTTGCCAGAATATAGGCCAAATGTAACTCATAGGGGAATGTATTCCAAACTAGGAACAATGCAATGTTCTTTCCCATGCCAGATATGCAAGCTTCTGTGATAAGGGAGGCTTCTGCAAATCTTAATGGCTGGAGAGGTTTATAACTGGAGGGGCAGTCCCTCAGATAATTTTAAAAGGCTTTAAAAATAGCGCCTTCAGTAAAAGCCAATGAATACTTGGAAACCACTGCAAATCATGTTTGCATTAGCTAGACCAAGTTAGTGGTCTAGCTAATGCAAATGCTTTTTAGATACTTGATTTTAGATACTTTTAATTAATGCATTATTTTTTTCAACTTCAGGATCCTTTGTGGTTTGTTGGACAACCTGTTTGGTATAGTAGTTAAGGTATCAGTGTAAAAACTGAGGGACCATGAGTTCTGATCCTGCTTTAGGCACAAAGCCAGGTGGGTTATCTTGGGCCAGACACTTTTTCGCAGCCCTAGCAAGATTTCAGAAATGGTTTGCCATTGCTGTCTTATCAGAAAAACCTTAGGAGTTAATCCATCCAGTTGCCAGGAGTCAACGCTGACTTAAAAGCACAGGGAAAAAAGTGGTTTATTTGAGTAGGCGCATGAATGTGCCATTTGAATAGGTGCATGAAGAAAATTTGGGAAAAAAAGATATAATTTAAATTTACATTAAATCTCTCTCTAAATAATGTTTTATTATTTTCTCTTTTGTTTCTCTTTGAAGGCGGTATGGCCAGGGTGGGGTCTCAGGGATAGATTATGTATGCTAACATATAGAATCTGTCTAAGAACCACATCAAGCTTACAGGGATTCTTAACAAATAAAAATAATGTGGTAGCCACAAGCTTCTGCTTGGTTTAGAAAGACTGGTTAGTGGCTGTGTAAAAAAAAAAGAGAAAGAGAAAAGTCAGTATAGTATAGTATACAGTATAGTAGAAGCCATCCTGACTTCTACTAGTTGATACAAAGCAATCTTAGGAGTTTGCCTTCTATAAATTGTTGCTTTATAACTCAACACACCCATAATGGTAGTAATTTTGTGACACAATAGTGTCTTTAGCATGCCAGCAGAATCCCAAATATGCTACCTGTCCATAAAAGCCTGGACAGGATTTTAGTTGCTGTTTATTTTTTCCTGCTTCCTTTCTGTGCTCCTTTCCCACCTTCTCACAGGTGTTGTTTATGACACGTTCATGCTGAAACACCAATGTACATGTGGAAACACTAATGTTCACCCAGAGCATGCTGGGAGGATCCAAAGTATTTGGTCCAGACTACAAGAGACAGGATTGCTAACCAAGTGTGAGGTAAGAAATCTCAGAGTGGAACTTTTTTCCCAGCAGCTGGTAAGACAGCTTCCAAAGTCATGTTGAAAAAATAGCTGCATTTGGGGAAATGATTTACAGTGGAGGAAGGCCTATCCTGGAATACTTTCTGGCATCATAAAAAATAAGAAATACAAAATAGATGAGTCCACATTATCAGGGACTTGGTAGAGTTTGTTCTGTTCCTTGAGTCCTAATAAATTTGCTAATCTTTAAATTGCTGCAAGTATGTCCAGTTTGGCTGCCTCTTTATTTGTTTTGGAAACAAGCCACACAGAAAAGAGGGTTTTAAAAAAATAAAGAAAGATATGCAAAGCATACCTTTCAGTCTGTATTTCCAGCACAAAAGAGAATAACAAAAGAAAGCGAAACTCTGAAAATAAAAGCCACTCTGATCACATGTTACTGTACTACAAGTCCCAGCAACCGTAGCCAGTTTGCATGGTTTCGTGAAGTGCTGGAATTTTTGCTTCAGAAACACATATAAAACCTCAGATTTCCCTATCACAACCTGTAATACTTTGAGATTTCATAGAGTAAGGATTTCCTCAGCAAGATCAGTCCATTCCAGGGGATGTCAACACTCTTGATACCTAGCATGAAAACAAATAGCCCATGTACAAATTGAAAGCTCATGTTCCTGCATGAAAAACAGTACCATATACATCTTTCTTCACTGCTATACCATTAATTTTCAAGTACTATAGGTTACTTTATTACATTTTTCATGCAAGAAGGTGTATTGACTTTATTAAAGTGTTGACTCCCTTCCCCTTCTACCTCTGGGGCTGATCATCAATTATGTACTGAACCTTCCTGGGGAAAGCAACTATGCAGTCTTTCGATATCTGCCACATCTACAAATTTAGCTGGGAGGGTGAGTCTTTTGTTCATTTATTTTCTTCCCATGCTTAAAATTAGATAGGGGGCGGAGAGGAATAGTAAAAAAATTGAGTACCAATCATTGAACTCTCAGCAGAAAGTAGGTGAAATCCAGTGATATGAAATGATTGGCCAAAAATATAAGATTGTTTTAAGCTTAATACTATTTTTTTCTATCAAACATGATCAGCTATAATATGTCTTGATATAAATCTAATCAGAAAATGAAGGCCTGATGTATTACTTCACATCATCATTATATTAAATGCATAGATATTTAGTAGACCAGAACTATGCAAGCCATGATATTCACTGTGATACTCTATATGGAAAAGAAAATTGGATTTTGAAACAGCAAGATAGGAAGAATATTGACACTTTTAAACTTCGGCATTGGAGAAGACGTTGCAGTATTCCATGAACAACCAATAAATGGATCATTGAAAAATAAACTTAGGGTTCTCACTTGAGATCCAAATGCCCAAGTGGAAGGAAAGGCAAGAAGAGGACAAACATCAGAAAGATGGATAAATTTGGTTATGGAAGTAATGAATCATTGGAAGACCTGAAGGATCAGGTTAGGGACAGAACATCATGGAGAAAATGTAATTGTCTAGTAATTATTATAATTATCAGAATAATTGGGGAAACATTTAAAAAACATGAGATTCCAAACACAGCTGCTACTTTGATGTGAATTGACATTGAACTTTGGTGTGTGTGTGTGTGTGTGTGTGTGTGTGTGTGTGTGTGTGTGTGTGTATTTATATATATATATTCAGTAATCCTTCTAGCTTCACTCTAAAAAATGGCAGACAAAGAAATTAAACCGTAGGCTCTGTCATATTCTTTGGAAAAAATTTTTTTAAAGAAGATTTATTCAGAGAAAGAACAATAAATAAGGTATATAAGAGATTAAACTAATTTTATCAACTGAGAAGGTCATTTGCTTTCCAGAGGCATATGTATTTTCTTTCTTGAATTCACCTTCGCTTTGTTGTTAATTCACACATTTCTCTAGGAAACTTAAATTCAGCTACAACTACAAACATCCCCAATCTGGCCACTTTCCAGATGTGCTGACTTCAATTCCCAGATTTCTCAGCAAGTAGAAATTAGATGCAACCTGGGGTAATCTCCTGTGCGCTGCTTGGAGAGTCCAAGCAATGGGTTCAAGTTTAGCTTGGTTGGCCAGAGACTGAGTTGAATTTGCCTAGCCACGCCTCTTTCTCCCATGAGTCTCCAGTGTTTCAACTCAGTCGGCCTAAAGAGACTTGCTTTAAATTTCTCCATCTTAGAAAAATTCTTTAAAATATTCTGCCAGCCACAGAAGAAGCCCTCTTTCTCCCTTCCATTTGGCCTGTCCTCTGCCCTCAGACATTCACAAAGCTCCTGGACGTGGTGGCAGCCCATCTGCAGGCTCGCCCAATCAGGCTTCAATGTTACCTAGACGACATTTTGATTCAATCTTCATCCATCAGGCAGGCGAGACAGGATTTGTCAGAGACTATTCAGGCTCTGCAACTTCACAGGTTTTCAATAAATCTAGAAAAGAGCCAGTTAATTCCATCCCATTCTATCCTTCATTTAGGCACCCGGATAGACACAGTCAGTTGCCAGGGTTTTCTATCACCAGAACGCCTAGTCAGCATACGGGCCTTGATACATTGGGTCAGGTCAGCCAGGCCAGTCTCCCTCGCAGTATTGTCCCAGTTGCTAGGGAAAATGATTTCATGTCTGGCCATCGTTCCTTGGGCAAGGTTACATTCCCGAACTTTACAATGGTTCCTCCTACCGAGCCAACAAGCAGGCATCAGTCACTCCACAACAAGAGTCAGAGTACCTCCAAAAGTTCTCCACTTCCTGAACTGGTGGACGTCACCTTCCCTAGAGAAAGACTGTCTCTTCAAGGAACCACCACGTCTAACACTAACTTCAGATGCCAGTCTATTCGGCTGGGGGGCTCACGTGAGTTCCCAGATGGCACAGGGCAGATAGTCACCACAGGATCTGTTACACGACATAAATTGGTTGGAACTCAGAGCTGCCCACCTAGCTCTCCGTCATTTCCACCTCTCGCTAACCAACTGTCATGTGTTGCTGTTAACCGACAATGTGACCTCCAAGGCACACATGAACAGGCAGGGAGGCACCCGGTCCAAGGACCTGATGTCCGAAGCAGCGAGCCTCGGCCTCTGGGCGGACTCACACCTGCTCTTCCTCCAAGCGGAACATATTTCAGGCGCACACAACGAACAGGCGGGCTGGTTGAGTCGAACAACCGTCGACCACTCCAAATGGCATCTCCATCCAGACCTGTTTCATCAACTGACGACCAGTTTCGGCCAACCATGCAACACCAAAGAACACTCACCTACCACGGTTCTTTTCCAGATTTCTGACGCCGGGAGCAGAAGTGACAGACGCCCTTTGGGCGCCCTGGCCTCGAGGCCTTCTATATGCATTTCCTCCGACACCTCTACTACCAAGGGTCATCTGGAAGCTTCTGGACGAGCAGGCAGAAATTCTGTTGGTGGCTCCGCACTGGGCCAGAAGGGTTTGGTTTGCGGACCTAGTGTCACTGTCAGTGTCCCGCCCATGGAGGATTCCGCCAGACAGGATTGTCCTAAACCAGGGGGCAGTTCAACATCCCGAGCCCCAGTGGCTCCAACTGGCCGTCTGGCAATTGAGCGGGAAATCCTGAGGGACTCCAGATTCTCAAGCGAGATCGTTTCCATCATCCAGGCGTCTCGTCCATCTACCACCAGAATTTATGACGCCACTTGGTCAACTTTCTCTAGCTGGTGCCGAAAATTGCACATTACTCTCAGGGCAGCTTCTCTTCCGGACGTCTTGAATTTCCTACACTCAGGATTCAAACGGGGACTTACTGCCAACACACTTGCAGACAGGTGGCCGCCTTAGCAACTATTCTACAGGGAGAGGGTCCTATCCCTCTCTCTCAACACCCCAAGGTGAGGAGTTTTCTTCGGGGAGTTGCTAATTACGGCCTCCTCCAGTCCATAGGTATCCTTCCTGGGACTTGCCTCTCGTTCTGCAAGCACTCACGTCTGCTCCGTTCGAGCCCTTAGGATCCGCCAGCCTCAGAATTCTTACCTTCAAGGTCGCCTTCTTGATAGCAATCACGTCTGCAAGAAGGATCTCTGAACTGGCGGCACTGTCGGTACATGGAGATCTATGTATCTTTTACTCCGACAGGGTGGTCCTCAGGTTGGACCCGACTTTCGTACCAAAAGTCAATTCTTGGTTTCACAGGGCACAGGAGGTGGTTTTACCTAACTTTTGCCCTCACCCAGCATATCCTAGAGAACAATGTTGGCACATGCTCGACGTTCGTAGGGCACTCTGCAAATATATTGACAGGACCGCATCATTCAGGAAGTCTGAATCACTATTTGTATTATTCCAGCCTACTGTCATGGGGAAAAAAGTTACCCCATCTACAATTGCAAGATGGATCAAATCTTGCATCACAATGGCTTACGAACACCAATCTACTCCAGTGCCTAGAAACATCACTGCGCATTCAACTCGTAGCGCTGCCACCATGGCAGCCTGGGCTACTCAGGCTTCCATATTGGAGATCTGCAGGGCTGCAACTTGGGCTTCTCCCACTACCTTTATCAGAAATTACAAGTTGGACGTTTTTGCCTCGGCCGAGGCTTCGTTTGGCAGAAGAGTCCTGCAGCAGGTTCTACTAGGCAAATGTCACCTGGACTGCTCAGACTCCTGCCCTAGGGATACTTAGCTTAGGTATATCCCATTGCTTGGACTGTTCAAGCAGCGCACAGGAGATTGAACATTGGAGCTTACCTGAATGTTAGATCTATGTGCGCTGCAGGAGAGTCCAACCCCACCCTACTGTAGCAGTCCAGCATCCAATACCTAGTTATAGTGGACATTATTCTATTCATTGCTACATCTTCTACAAACCTCTTCGTCGAAACACTGAAGACTCATGGGAGAAAGAGGCGTGGCTAGGCAAATTCAACTCAGTCTCTGGCCAACCAAGCTAAACTTGAACCCATTGCTTGGACTCTCCTGCAGTGCACATAGATCGAACATTCAGGTAAGCTCCAATGTTCATTCTGGGAGTCAGTGACTACACAGTTTAAAGATGCTGAGATTGGGGAAGGCTGCCTTAGTGGCAAGTGAATACTTTCCATACAGATTTCAGATTTCAGGTGCTGAAATCTGTGGAGAGGTGGTAATGAGCTCTAGAGATGAAATTACCTCCGGTAGTAAGAGATGAAAATATCTTTGCCTGAAACTTTGGCTGCTGGCAGTCAAAAAAAAGTTGTATTTTGGCAAATGGGCCAGTTATCTGACAATGCAAGAAAGTGTGAACGATCTTAGAGTTGTTGTAGAGAAATATCCCAAAGGTCATGCCACAATCAAAGTACTTGTCAGGGGAAAGTTTCTTCCAGGTATTTCAGAAAAAGCTTAGTGGGACACAAAGGAAATTCAATTACAGAGTTGGCAATGCTTTTGCCTGTAAGGACCATACGTTGTATATGTGTGCTACGCCATGGGTTTTACTAAAAAAACAAAGCCTGACCAGAATAGGAAGGCAGCCCAAAAAAGAAGCCTTTGTTCTGAACCCAGAACAAAGAATTCAGTTTTCCATAAAATAATTTAATATTGAACAATATTAAAGTGATCCTTGATTTTGTCTTTGAAGGCAAGCACTGAACTTATGAATTTTGATGGTAATGTTGACATGGTCCCTAAGCCATTCATGAATGTTCAGGAGGGTAAAGAGGGACAGTTGAAGATTTGTCCACCATTCTTAACCCGAAATGAAATATTGGAAAGGCTGGAATGGAAAAAAGCTTAATAGTTAAGCCAGATTTAGATATTTAGCTTGAAAATAATATACAATGAAAAACCTTATTATCAAACCTAGACACAAGTATAAAACATCTGTGTTGGTAAATGTAACTGAAGGAGAACCTAGTACTAGACTGGATTCTTGTTAAAAATCCTTTCGAAGTCCATATTTAAACTTTTCTGTCTAATGTCTTCAACCATTTTTTTGTTACTTAGAGAATCCGAGGTCGGAAGGCAACATTGGATGAAATCCAGGCTGTCCATTCGGAACATCACACATTACTATATGGAACAAGCCCTTTGAACAGGCAAAAACTTGACAACAAGAAATTACTAGGTAGAATGTCTAGCATTTTACGAATGTAATTCTATTTTCATAATGCAGAACGTTGCTCCTCCTTCCGCTTTAGAAATCGCAGAATGTACAGAATTTTGCTTTATCTGTGTACATGGTGAAGGCTGAAAATGTACGATTAAATATGAGGAAGGGCAATCTTTTTAATATAATGTCTGATAAATTCTGTCTTTTCAAACTTCTGTATCAGATGGGAAAACTTTTGGTGGCAGGGGATTGTATTTTCCAGCAGTGGGAGGTTGGATGTGTGAGGCAGTGATGCAAAACAAAGTGAGCATTTGCACATAATGGGAAGAGTCCCAATTTTTAGGGGAAGTTAGATAGAATTTAAGGGGAGGGTCTCTTTGATTTATGCCTGTTTAACTATTTTAGAGCTTAGGCTTTTTCAAAATTGTGGGCTACTAAACTGATGAGTTATAACCCACTATAGGCATTTAAAAAAGAAGTAATGGAATGTAAAGTTGCCCAGTTTAATCCTGTATTATTCATAAAGATTATAATTTTGTACTTTCTATGGCAGTAAAAATTGACACGAAAAATGTGGGAAATGAATTAATCTTATGTACCATGTAACTGGTAGGTATGTGGCATTCATACCCCCTTCTCTCTCCTTTGTTTCTCCTCTTAAGGTCCCCTTAGTCAGAAGATGTATGCTGTCCTCCCGTGTGGTGGAATCGGGGTGAGTGAAATACGGTTGCCAGGAAAATCAGATGGCAGGAAATGAAAGCCTCCCATATTCCATCTTAAAGCTTCATTTCTGCTATGCAATTTATTTAATTTCTGGGAAAAAGGCTTCAAGTCAGTAGCAAGCAGATGTAATTTTCATCTGTGATGGAGCATGACCCTCCTTGAAAGCCTGTAGAGCTGCAATATGAAACCCGGAGGACAAAATATTGAGTTTTATATAAGATGATTCTCCACGTTAAATTTTAATTGCATCTTCTTGATTTTTTCATGTGTCCTTGAATTGTACCGAAATGGCTTTAAAAATGATTCCTTTTAGGTTTGTTGTTTCTTATCTTCATCCTACATGCTATTGAATACCCACAAGAATCCTATATAGCAATTATCTATTGCCTGCAAGCAATAAAGTGATGAATCAGGCCTCAGCTGCATCTCTCATTTATTTCTATTATTTTTTAAATGGAATATATATCCTGCCTTTTTATCCATAGAGCACTCAAGGCAGCTCAAATACAAATTATAAAATATGAAAATAAAAAGAATGTTAAAACTAAAGTAAAAGTAAACATCAATATCATTAAATCAATTTTATTAACAAGCTAGGGCAGTGTGGTGGCTCAGCACTTAAGCCGCTGGGCTTGTCAGCCCTGCAATGGGGTGGGCTCCCATCCTTGCCCCAGCTCCTGCCCACCTAAAGTTTGATAGCATGAAAATGCGAGTAGATAAATGGGTACCACTACGGTGTGAAGCTAACAGTGCTTTGTAACATCCTGCTGGCGACTGCAGAAATGTCTTCCAACAGCACTGGCTCAATTATCTTGAAACAGAGAAGAGCACTGCCCCCTATAGTTGGCAAGAACTAATGGAGTAAAATTCGTAGGGACTCTAGCAATTTAGAAGCCTGTTGGGAAGGATGTATCTTTGTCACTTTCCTGAATCCTGTGTGTACTCCATTTTACTCGTAACAGTTTTATTTTTATTTTGTTTTATTTTATTTACAAAATTATAGGCCTCCCTTCTTACCTCAAGGTAACTCTAGGCGGCTTGTTTACATAGGAAGAAAAGTCCACAAAGGACTGTCTGCACACAAATCTCCTCATTACAGCACCATTCCTATTACCTATCAAATAGCAAGTGGTTACTTCCCTCACCTCCTAAAGCCTTTCATAGATAGGACAAAATCTACCGAACTGAGTGTGAAGTAGTGGTTAAACCATTGGCCTAGAAATGAGGAAATCTCAATTCTTGTACCTGCTCAGCCACAGAAACTCACTGGATGACTTTGGGTCACTCTTCTAACCCCACCTCTTGCAGTGTTATTGTGAAAAAAATAGAAGGAACAAATATTGCGTATGAATTTCTAAACTAAAAGCAGGATGGCAATCAAAGAAGGAAATGATCAGGCCAGCTTGGATGGTTTTACTCTTTAGCTTTTGCAACTCCTATGATCTATGATAAACTTTCAATGTAGGTTGACAGTGACACAGTGTGGAATGAGATGCATTCATCCAGTGCAGTCCGCATGGCTGTTGGCTGTTTGCTGGAGCTGGCCTTTAAAGTGGCATCAGGGGAACTTAAGGTAAATTCTTCTTTGAATCCATTGACAGAAAGTGCATTAAAAGTGGTTGTGCTAATCATAATGTAATGAACACATTATTAAAGATACATGACTTTTTCATCCTTAGAATGGATATGCTGTCATCCGACCACCAGGTCACCATGCAGAAGAGTCTACTGCCATGTAAGTATATACTATAAAGTGAGGGAAAAATATGTACATTTAACTACTGCAAAATTTTAAAATGTTACATTTTCTAAAATGAATTCTTTTGGGAAAGTGGAATAAGTAAAGATGCATTTTAAAAAGCTATTTATGTGCTTTCTCAAATGAAATTCCATCTCTTTTTTCTTGAGTAATACTGCATATTTGATCTGTTAATGAAAAACTTATTTCTTTACTTAGACATCCATACCTTCCAAATATGTTTGGAAAATGAATGTATAAAAGGCAGTGGTGGGTTCTAACCGGCTTTACTACTGGTTTTCTTTGTGCACACGCTTCACTCGCGATCGCCTCTTTGGTTGCGCACTTTGCGCATGCTCACATGCACGCCAAACTTGCGCTTTGCGCAAGCGTGTTACGAATTTGCCCAGCTGAGGTGCGGCAATCAGCTCTGCTGCACCTCTCAGCTGGGCGAACAAAGAAGAAATATAAGGTAGGAATAATGCAGGAGCGGGTCGGAGGGCCCAGCTCCCGAAGCAAGAGAACCGGTTCGGTGACGTAATAGCGTCACTGCTACCGGCTTGGCCGAATCGGAAGGAACCCACCACTGATAAAAGGTGATAAGATTATTCTTTTTCATAGCATTCTGTGGTGCCTGTTACGATAAGTAGCATTTTTTAAAAGATCAAATAAAAATAGGTGCTACATGGCACCAAACTGAAATATTATTGTTTCCTTCATTTAGTGGCAGGAGCATTCCAGGATTTTAGGCAAGGCTTTATCCTAGTACTAATTGGAATCTAGTACCTGTTAGAATCACTTAGATAGATGCTCTACCAATGAGCATATCCTTCATGAAATCTGGCTACCTGCTGTAATGGAGAATGTTGGGCTTAGGAAGGCCCTATTCTGGTAGAGTATATCAGTTTTTATTTTGCTTATCTATCCTGATCCAATAATGCCCTTCTTCCTTTTCATTTTGTTTAGGGGCTTTTGCTTCTTCAATTCTGTTGCCATTGCTGCTAAGCTTTTACAACAAAAGCTTGCCATCAGTAAAATCCTGATTGTGGACTGGGTAAGGTTTTTTTTCCCCCTTTTCTACTCCAGAGGTCACTTACTCTCTTAGGTTAAATGCTTACAAAGCATTTAAAAAGGAGCATTTTAAAAAATTTAATGTCTGCCAATATAATTAAAGAGAGTTGTGAGTGTCTTGCTGCCTACATGCACCATGGTGTGGATCCCAAGCTGATTCTTCTACTTAAGTTCTACTTCGTGTTGATAGGATATCCATCATGGCAATGGAACCCAGCAGGCATTCTACAGCGACCCCAGTGTTCTGTACATTTCCCTCCATCGTTATGATAATGGCAATTTCTTCCCAGGCAGTGGAGCTCCTGAAGAGGTATGTGTATTCCTTTATTTTTTAAAATCTGATTTGTAGAAGAGATGCTAAAGATGGAACCAACTTGGAATCTGTAGGTTAAAAAACTAAAATATTTTTAATCCAAAATATTTTAGAAATATGAGCAGAGAAATAAAACTCCCACCTTGAATTGGGTTCCGACTGAAGCCAAAGAGGTATACTGAGTAATCTTTATTAAATTATTACAAAATGGATCTACATAGAGGCAAATGAAGAAATAATTTTGATATTCAAAAACATGCATGAAACTATAAAGAACAATAAGGAGACAAGGGGATTGTCTAAAGATAAAGAAATGAGGGTAGAAGCCACTCAACATGAAATAGATGAGAAGTTAGAAGAAGCAGTAGAAGGAAAAAATCAAAATGAGATGCAAGAAGATACTTGTAAAGGTTACCCAAGCCAAATTTATACCGATCTGCCCACCCTCTGCCATACTTAGAGATTAATCAGTAATTCTCCTATTCATTGTTACTCACTTGAATCTGTTATTGCTGGGGTGGTGGTTGATACCCCCAGACTTATTGCCATGGGGGATTTCAACCTGCCATCCGCCGGTGAGGCATCAGAGGTGGCTTGGGAGTTCATGGCTTCCATGGCGGCCATGGACCTGATCCAGTTAGTTCAAGGCCCCACTCACACAGGGGGACACACTCTGGATTTGATTTTCGTCTCTGGTCAGTGGTTGAATGATCTTGGTAGAGGGGATTTAGACATTAAACCCTTGTCATGGACAGATCATTCGCTCCTTCACTTGGACTTTCCAGCCGCTTCCCCCCGCCACAGGGAGGCAGAACCGACTAGATGGTTCTGTCCCAGGCGCCTGATGGATCCCGAAAGATTCCTGACAGAGCTTCGGCTGTTTCCTGAGACCCTGGTACACGACTTGACTGAAGACCTGGTGGCCACCTGGGATAGTGCGGCCGCCGAGCTTTGGACCGCATCGTACCTTTGCGGCCTCTGACCCGATGCCAATCTCAGTTGGCACCTTGGTTCTCCAAGGAGCTGAGAGAGATGAAGCGTCGGAAAAGACGCCTAGAGAGCATTTGGAGGACTAGTCAGTCCGATTCTGACTGAACACTGGTGAGATCTTATATCAAGACCTACCTACTGGTGATAAAAGCGGCGAAATCTAACTATTTTTCCGCTCTTATTGCATCTGCAGAGAACCGCCCAGCCGCTCTGTTTAGGGTGACCCACTCCCTTCTTCAGGGGGGAGCGCGGGAAGATCCCTTGCAGGGTCGTGCTGAGGATTTTGTGCAATTCCTGCATGATAAAGTCACTAGGATTCAGGAAGGCTTGGACTCCGACTGGGTGAGTCCAGGGGGGGAGACGGAGGTAGGTCTTGAAATTATCTGGGAGGAGTTTGATCCTGTGGCTCCCGAGGATGTGGACAGGGTTCTGGGTAAGATTAGTGCTGCCACATGTTTATTGGACCCGTGTCCCTCCTGGTTGGTTGGCCTCCCGGGAGGTTACACAAGGCTGGCTCCAGGGGATTATAAATGCTTCTTTGAGTGAGGGTGCCTTTCCCGCCGCCTTGAAAGAGGCGATGGTGAGGTCCCTCCTCAAGAAGCCATCCCTGGAACGGGCTGAATTAGCCAACTACCGTCCGGTCTCCAACCTTCGTTTTGTGGCGAAGGTTGTTGAGTGTGTGGTGGCACGACAGCTTCCCCGGTACCTGGATGAAGCTATCTATCTGGACCCGTACCAGTTGGGCTTCAGGCAGGGGTACAGCACAGAAACTGCATTGGTTGCATTGGTGGATGATCTCTGGAGGGCTCGGGACAGGGGTTGTTCCTCTGTCCTGGTCCTATTAGATCTCTCAATGGCTTTTGATACCATCGACCATGGTATCATGCTGCAGCGGTTGAGGGGGTTAGGAATAGGGGGCACCGTGCTGCGGTGGTTCTCCTCCTTCCTCTCCAACCGCTCGCAGTTTGTGTTGGCAGGGGGGCAGAAGCCGACCTTGCGGCGCCTCGCTTGGGGAGTGCCGCAAGGGTTGGTCCTCTTGCCCCTTCTGTTCAACATTTATGTGAAGCCGCTGGGCGAGATCATCCGTGGTTTTGGGGTGAGAGTTCATCAGTAAGATGATGATACTCAGCTGTACATCTCCACCCTAGTCCAACCCAATGATGCCCTTGATGTGATGTCTCGCTGCCTGGAGGCCGTGCGGGTCTGGATGGGGAGAAATAGGCTCCGACTTAACCCTGCCAAGACCGAGTGGCTGTGGCTCCTGGTGTCCCGATATAGTCAGCTGGTGCCATCGCTGACTATTGGGGGTGAATCTTTGCCCCCCACAGAGAGGGCTCCTAATCTGGGTGTCCTCCTGGCTGTCTTTAGAAGAGCATATGACGGCTGTGGCCAGGGCGGCTTTTTATCAGGTTCGCCTGATTCGCCAGTTGCGGCCCTTTCTGGACCGGGACACCTTGCGCATGGTCATTCATGCCCTGGTCACCTCCCGGCTGGACTACTGTAATGCTCTCTACATGGGGCTCCCCTTGAAGAGCACTCGGAGACTCCAACTGGTCCAGAATGCGGCCACGCGGGTGGTTATGGGCGCGACTCGTTGTTCCCATGTGACACCTCTCCTGCGCGAGCTGCACTGGCTCCCAGTGGTCTTTCAGGTGTGATTCAAGGTGTTGGTCACCACCTTTAAGGCGCTCCATGGCTTAGGACCCAGGTACCTTCGAGACTGACTTCTGCCACCAGTAGCCTCCCACCGGCCAGTCCGCTCCACAGAGAGGGGCTCGTCAGGGTACCATCGGCCAAGGTATGTCGGCTGGCGACATACCCAGGGGGAGGGCCTTCTCTGTGGGAGCTCCTGCCCTGTGGAATGAACTGCCCCCGGAATTGCGCAAGATCTCCGACCTCCATGTATTTCGCTGTGCCCTCAAGACCCTGCTGTTCCGCCAGGCCGGGCTATCAATGTAAATGATTTTAAATTGGGTGTTTTAAATTTTTGGGTTTTAATTTGGGCCAAAATTATTTAATAATTTTAATTATTTTTTAATTGATGTCTGTATATTTTTGAGTTTTTAATATGCTGCACACCGCCTTGAGTCCTTTGGGAGAAGGGCGGTATAGAAATAAAATTATTATTATTATTATTAAGATGTGGCTCCCCTCACTGGGATTTATTCTTACATATCTTTTTTCTCGCACTTTGACAGCTCTCAGCATGGTAAACCCTATGGCTGAGGGCTTTTGTTATCCACCATGTTTCTTTCTTCCAGGTTGGTGGTGGGATGGGTGTAGGTTACAATGTAAACATTGCTTGGACTGGTGGAGTGGATCCCCCTATTGGTGATGTGGAATATCTAACAGCCTTCAGGTAGGTTTGCTATCAACAGTAAATAAGACTGTGTAAAGGTCTGTGGCTCAACAAGGTATGTTTTGGAAAGCCCAGAACATTCTGTTTTTCTCCTAGAATGTGCCAAGGGATGGATTGTCATTTTCAAAGTAAAGTTTACATGACAACAATAGTGTCATAATACTGTCAAATGTATTTCTTCCTCTTTTGCTATGTGGCAAAATTCTAGAAGGCAAAAATTTCTTAGGTACTTAACAACTGGGATAGTCATTATGTTGCTACATTAGAGCAACTAAGACACACTGCCCCATAGTTTTCTCCATCTATGTTCTGTTGCCAGTTCTTAGCATTTGTTGCTTGAGGTGACTACCTCTGCCTATTGCTATTGCAGGTCTCATAAAGACTTTTGTGGAACATTGGTTTATTCATGTTATGCTCATGTTATGCTATAAAATTCAGGGAACACAAGATTGACTTGTTGGTTTTGCTCTAAAATGGCTAAGTACAGTTAGGAGAAACCTTCTAATAGCCCATGATTGTTCTTCATCTCTGATTTCTAGCATTCAAGGCCAAAGGCCAGACTGATAATGCACTGTGTAAGTTAAAACTATGAATGATGCCAAGTTGAGGAAGGCTTGTCTACAAATATGTGGCCAGTTTAATTAAGTGCATTGGAGAAAGTTACAGAGACTCAGAAGGGAAAGATGAAATAGCTGAAATTTTCCTAATCCATACATTGCAATTAATCCAGAGTTAATGCTGTCCTACCTCCTGTTCCTAAGAGAAATCTGAGAGCTGTTTTGTGTCCCCCAGGACTGTGGTGATGCCTATAGCGCACGAGTTTTCCCCAGATATGGTCCTTGTTTCTGCTGGCTTCGATGCTGTTGAGGGACACTTGTCCCCATTGGGTGGATATTCCGTCACAGCCAAATGTGAGTTTAAGGAACGTGGGGCAAGGTCCCTTTATAAATTTAGTTTATAAATAGAGAAAACTATTCACAGACTAGTTACTTCCACTACGGAGCTAAAGTAGTTTGCTTAAGATTCCAGTGTCTCCATAGGTTTCCTAACCTTAGCAAAAGAGATTTGTCAGGTTAGAATTTCAAAACCAGTATGAGTATAGGAGGATGTCTTATTGACAGTAATTCAGCTATTTACCTTTTACAAGTCATAGCTTTTCTGACATGCCTTTCCCAGCCTTATTAATTGCAGTGCCAAGAAAAGCTTGTGTACTGTGTTACTGAGCTATAATAGTCTCTCCATGTGTTTGAATGATGCCACATAGTTGGAGCTGCAGCTCTTTTTATCTAATGATTTTTCCATGGAGATCATTTATCTCTACTTCCTTGATCTTTTGAAGAATGTATCTCATACAAGCATTGTTAAAAACCCAGAGCACCGACGGTCCTGGATAGTGGCTTAAAGACTTTTTAAGCCTACTTTCAGGTTCCAAGTAGCTCGATCACTGTCTTCATAAATGTTGAAGGTTCTGTTTTTCATCACAATAGACATCCATGACTTTCTTCAATTTCTAGCAAAGAGCAATGTAAAAGCTAACACAGGAATCACTAATTCATATTTCCTTCTTGATTATGTAGGTTTTGGGCACCTGACCAAACAACTGATGGATTTAGCAGATGGGCGTGTTGTCCTAGCTTTAGAAGGTGGTCATGATCTGACTGCCATCTGTGATGCCTCTGAAGCCTGTGTCTCTGCCTTGCTTGGCCTTGAGGTGAGTACGAGTAACACAGGAGGGTGCTGGAAAAGTCTCAGTCGGGCTTGGAATGGAAACATCAAAAGATATTTATCTGTATTCTGCTTTATTATTTTTACAAATAATTCAAAGTAGCTAACGTATCCAACGCATCTTTCTATTTAAAGCAAAGATAGCTAAATATTGTTGCAAGAAATAGTAATTTAAAAGTATTAAAGTCAAGACTACTGACCTACCCTCTGGAATCAGCTGCCCCCAGAGATAAGGAGAATCCAAGACCTCGGTGCCTTCCGCCATGCCCTTAAAACTTTCTTTTTTCAGCAAGCCGGGCTGGCTTAATATATTTTTTAAATATTTTTAATTGGTTTGTTATTTTAAATTGGGGCCAAATTAATATATATCTTTTTAATTGTTTTTAATGTTTGTATTGTATGTTTTTTTAATCTGGCTGTACACCGCCCTGACTCCCTCGGGAGAAGGTGCGGTATATAAATTTGAAATAAATAAATAAATAAAAGACAAAAATTAATTGTTAAAGCCTTGCAATAAGGCATCATCTTTACAAATATTCTGAACACAGAGTGGGTATAGGTCCCATGTGCTAATAAGCAAATCTCTAATAAGATCTTAAAAAGGACAATCCTTTGGGAAAGTTCATCTGTTTAAAAAGAAGGCATTCACTTAATTGACTCATGACATCTTTAATGGTGTCTGCACAAGGGTCATCCTGAAATTGACAAAATATCTATTTATTTTTGTTCTATAGGAAATGGATCAATATATGTAAGAAAGCCTCTAATAATCAGGGTTAGAGAAAAAAATAAATGAGTCAAAGAAATGGATAGAAGGGAAAATGCAGATCTCTTTTAGATATACATGCAGAATTTATGAGATATAAACAAAAATATCAAATTTCTAGAAGCGTATAGGGGGAAATAGAGACATTAAAGCAAAATAAATAATTTATTTTCTTATAATATATAATATCCTCTAATAGTCTCAAATTCTTCATTCATAAATAGATTTCTTAAGGCAGTTTTTATTCTGTATCCAGGACCAGATCCAGAAACCTCATGAAGCAGTTACAGGCTAATTCATGTGCAACATGCCAGGCTTCACTCAAAACCAGTTATAACTCAAAAGGGGATAAAACAGGGATACATTTTAGTACCCCTGCTTATCAGCTTCTATATCAACGGCATATCTAAATGATCCAAATTTCCATCCTTCTAAACTGTGGGATCACAGCATTTTCCTGCTGCTCTATGCATACAACCAATTGTGATTATTCCCAGAACACTAATAGACTCAAAAGAGCTCTGACAATTTTCATCCATATTGCAGTAATGAAAATCTGAAAATAAGCTATCAGAAAACCAAGATGATGGGAGATGATGGAGCATTAATGGCCACAAAATAGAACAAGTGACTAGCTTTAAGTATTTAGGAGCAGTCATGCATGCCACTGGCTTGAGGAGAGCCCATTGCAAATGTGATACTGCTACTGGACAAAGATCTGCCAATGCCATCCTTAAATTGTTGCGCTCCAAGGAAGTATGTTCCAGCCACACTGAAACTTTTTCAGGCTAAGCCTCTAGCCATAGTCCTTTATAGGACTTCAGTTGACTTCCCTCCCCCCGGCTTTGTGTTTCATCTCTCTGGAAAGGGTACAATCTAAATTCATCAGAGCAGCTCTCCAGATATATGCTGTGTCCCAAATACACACCTAAGAGAGGAGACAGAGTTCAGAGTGCATTTATAAATCTTTTATCAAAGCTCAGCTTCTTTCCCTAAGCCTTAGCACCATTCATCTTCAGGGGGGAAAACCCCAATCTACATGGATCAAGGTTGTGGAATTTAATATTTCAAATTTAGGCTACTCTCCCTCCACAGTTCTTAAGATGGAACATGATCAGAGGAAACAATCCCTGAAGCAAATGTTAAAGAATACAGAGAGGCAAGCAGATCTAGGGAAAGATGCAACCTTCCTATCAGCACCAACAATACATCATTACTATTACCTCGCACAGCTAAAAACACCTACACTTCAAAAAGCTTTTTCTCGTGACCAAATGCCGTGTCTTCCCTTCTGCAATATTTAATTGTAAATACAAAAAAACCCCCACCCCATTGCCTGAAAAGTTTTTCCCCAGAGATTCCAGAGAGGTAAAAACTATAGAATATATCTTTCTACGATTCTCCCTTGATGGAGACATCCAAACTTTTGTACTTCCTTTGGTCAGTAGATATCCTGGTCACCAGAATTCAGCCTATGCCTGGAAGCATTTATAACATGTATGAAACAATATGGTTTGTTTTAGATATTTTCATAGACCACTATTTAGAATGCTAATACTCCTCTAAGAGTGTTTAGTTTTTCTCTAAATCTGACTATGATTTTCAGCAGCAAAATAATAGACTTGGTGACTTGTATATATATATATATATATATATATATACCAGTACTATAGGCAGAGCATAAGGAGACACGGAAATTGTTATATTTAAGCACAGGTACCTTATTGTTAAATATAATCAAACAAATAAAAAGAAAATGTCTATCAAACTTAAATAGAACCAAAGTTCATAAATTCACAATATTAAATGGATGGAATGGTACATAAAGGCTTTGTAGGAAATTGACATAGAATTGTTTTGGCTTTTTTTGTTGCCATTTCCTCAGTTACTTTCACATGCACCTTTTTTCCTTGGGCTCCCATTTATTTGAACTATTTATCTTTTCTCATGACTTCTATCCAGACTGGAAATCAAAATACTAAACTCGAGTTTCTTTTGTTGCAGTTGGAACAGTTGGATCAAGCTCTGTTGCAACAAAAGCCCAATTCAAATGCTATAGCTACATTGGAGCATGTCATTGAAATCCAGAGTAAGTTTTTGGGGCATGCTCTTGGCTTCATGTTGCATTTTCTTATGGAAAAAAGCGATTTGTTAAAGAAAACAAATGAACTGGTGATTTATTCTACATCCAGGTTAGGGTTATATCTGTGTAATATAAAAAAACACTTATTAATCTTGTTAGCTTTAAGGAACATAGATTTCAATTCCCAGAATTCCCCAGTCAACATATTGGTATGAAGAACAGGGTTGGCAACATGCTTGTAAGAGGCAGGTTGCCCTTTATATTCAACATGGCATCTGCAATATTCTCAACTAGAATATTGCATTAATTAATGCATTAATTCTCATTCTAGAATTAATGTTGCAAAAAAATTGTTAGTGATATAAAATAAAAACTTTCAACATTTTACCATATGTGGGATTGGGGGCCGGGATGCTACCGCCTAATTCAGAGCCATAACAGGGTTTAAACATGGCTTAGTAGCCACCCAGTTCAATTCCCTAGAAACATCAGCTACAGTAGCCCAAACAAATGGCCGTCCAGCATCTGCTTAAAATACTATCTTTTGAAGCAGTAGTTTAGATGTTTCTCTGAATTTTAGCACAAATCCTCTTCCTTGCACCATCCCATTGTCCTAGTCCTGCTTTCTGGTACATCAGATTTGTTTTGCTACTTTCCCAGCAATCTTTAGATGCTAGAAGACAGCATGCCTGAGATTTCTTATCTCTAAACTACACTTAACTGGCTAGTTTTAACTTTCTAAACCTACTCAAGATTTGTTAGGGATGCTAGTCATTTATTTTAATTAATCTCCTTAATCATGACCATAGCAAGTAATTGTTTATAGGCATGATTATAGAAAGAAATGTTCTAATAAAGATCCCAAAGGTCTTTTATTTCATTGATAGTGTGATGGGTTTGGAAATGGTAGATAGGTAGACAAGGCAGGAATTCAGCCAAGTACTAGAATTTCTAACCTAATGCTTGGCAATTGTATCATAGGCAAACACTGGAATTCAGTGAAAAGTTCTGCAGCAATTATTGGCTGTTCGTTGCTGGAGGCCCAAAAGGGAGAAGCAGAAGAAGCAGAGACTGTTAGTGCGATGGCATCACTGTCAGTGGACACAGAGCAGGGAAAAACAGACTGTGATGTCCGGTAGGTTCATTTTGGGAGAGGGCAAAGGTCTGATTGTGAGGGGTGGGTTTTTTTTTTGTTTGTTTTGTTTTTGTTTTTGAGGTCTAATCTGCCTGACTAGGCTGCCCCAGTACCATGTGTATCACTATTTCTGGTGGCCAGGAATCACTTCTGCATACCCAGATCCACTAGGAAGAGGAGTCTTTTCTTGATTTGCATCAACCAACGTTGCTGAGATTGAGAAACATTGTCTTAGTCTTTATAGTGTGGTGTGTTGGTCCTTCAATTTGTCAGAAATTAGGATGAATACACCAATGGTCAAAGCCCATCTGGAAGGTGCTAGGTTGGACATAACTGTCATTGGACCTCACCTCCACCCAGAACAAAGTCTTTGAATTGAACTAACAATTCAGAGTCATAGTAGTAACCCCTACTACTATCAGAACAGCCTTTGAAAATTCTTTCATCAACAGCACAACCAATAGCTGTGTTAACTTCCGGAACAGTGAGAGACCAATAATGATAATCTCTTTTGCCTTCTTTCTTTCCTTCTTCTTACAGATCGGTAGAAGAGCCAATGGAGGCTGAACCAGTGTTGTGAAGTGCCAAGACTTCAATTTCTGTAGCTGTCACTCTGTGGGTTTAATTGGTCATTTGTGAGTTCGTTAAAACAACAACAAAATTATTATTTTTTATCTATTAAAAAGAAAAAAAGGAAAAAAAAGAGTTGCACTGGACAAAATGAGCCTCTGTGTGTGTGCGTGATCGTGTCAGTCTCCAAGCATTTGTTCTCACCAGCATCACCATTTTGTCCTGACTCTTTGGAGATTTGTGAAGGAACTTGGTGAGGGGGCTTTCACATGGACATCTCCATTATTCCTTTTTCAGATATCATTCCCTCCCCCACTCCTCCCTCCATTGGACACTAAACCTGTCCCCTTTTTTAGGACTGGAAAAGCCGTTTTGCTTCTGGAGAAAAAAATATTTTCTGTCTCTTTGTCTCTCATACCTACAGTTAGTAAGAGGTGTTAAAGAAATGTATTTTTCTCAAAATCATTTTTTTCCCCAATGTTCACGTGGATCCTAAATAGTTATTCAGAATCTTGAATCTGGATGCCCATTCTGAGCAAGGAATTGTTGGACTTAATGATTTTTATTGGTCAACTCCAACTCTTGTAATTCAGTTTCACTTCATCTTTCTTCTTCCATATACATGCATATATATTTTTCCTTCCATTTGTTTGGAATGAAAGAGAAATGGATTGTCTGAACAAAGGGACCCACAGCTGCCTCTTACATTTTAGAGTCTAGAACAGGAGAATTTTCCTATGCAGCACAGAGCCCCAGAGGTTCTACTATGCTAGGCAGGCCATCCATATTACATTGAGCCAGACTTGCCCACTTCACCTCTTCCTAAATCTGATCCTGAAACAGCATTCCTCTCTCCTGGGTTCTTTGCAAAATGAGTTGGGGTTGAAAATCCCTCCCCCGAGCCCTGAATTTTCAAAATGCCTTTCTCCTGACTTTGCAATTTTTAATGTTTTCATTCTCTTTCCTACCCCCAAATAGATTCATAAATAATGCTACCTTTGTTGCCTAAATCTCTCTATTCATCTCAGCTCTAAGCTGTTCCTCAATTTGTATAGTTCTGGTTTAAGCTCTAGAAAAAGCTCCCAAGGTGGGGAGAAAGGGGAAAAAGTGTGCCTTTAAGTCATTTTTGTTAATGCCTTAATTTCTCTGTAAGTTCATTTTTACACCATCCCTCCTCAGTTCTATCCCTTTTTCATTTGCCATCTAGTTAACAATTATCCTACATGAAGACAGAAAGGAATCACATATATATCCCCAGCCTCAATGCATGTTTTGGCCCTGATCCTGCACCAGGCGTGTTCAAAGAAACCATGAATATCTCACCAGCCTGGGGATCATTGTGGATGAGCATTAACTCACTTCCAACACAGTGCAGTTCTGTGTGACTGCATCATCACTCAGCTGTGCTTTGATTTGCACATCTGAATTATGTGCCCTGTTTATGTCTGCAGTTTTCAATCTGTCAAGCGATATATGCGATATATGCGTGCAAGCCTATTTACAAGGATGGACCTCCTTAGTTGGATCACTCTGTGTGTCATAAAATCCTTTTTGTAACAAAAGTTTTGCATATGTGGACTGTTTCATGACCAATGCTTTGACATTCTCTCTTTTCGCTATTTTTCTTCCTCCTCTACTGTCATTGTTTGAAAGACTCCTTGTCATTTATTGTAAATAATTTGATTTCTTGTATCACTTGTACAAACTCTGTTTTGATGAAAGTTTGTCCATTCATAAAGAAAAAACAAAGCAAAAGAAAAAGGAGAGAATTCTTTGCTGTTACTTCACCAGCCAAAAAGAGGGAAAAAATAGAAACAGAGCAATTTTAGCTTTTAAAAGAAATGGATATAAAGAAAAAAGGTATATAATTTTATTACAGATGTATTATTTAATAGTATTTTTTTAACTTGTACCAACTCTCCTTTCCTTTGGAAAGTTGATAGCAGGGATAATGAAACAAAGGAAAAGATGGGGCTTGATACTGTTTTCACTAACCAGGGCTGCGGGATTTCTAAGCTGTGTGTGGGAGGGGGAGGCACTTGGGAGGGGGTAATTGTGTAGAATGTAAGGCTGTGACATTTTTAGCTGCACGTGTGGAAACCTTGCCAGGGTCTGTTTTAAGGATTCCTGCATTTGTTCAGGTTTAGTCCTCCCAAACGTTCCATGGTGTGCATGTGTGAGTGGTACTTCTTTCCAGATTTTCCTATAATTATTCTTATAGTCATGATGAGTGGAATGTCGTGTCTTGACAGTGCTATGTTCTGTTTTCTTTCCTGTTTTTCCTTCTGTGGCAATGAAGACCACAGTTTCAATACCATCTGTTGCCCTGATTTATCAAACAGTGCATGCCTGAAGATAGCTTCTTTTCATCACCACATTAGCCAAAAGCTTTCTGCTTTGGGAGAGATATAAGGAGGGTTGGAGACTTTCCCCATCAACTTGGTAATGCACACTTTGTCCCACTTGTGGCAGCCTGAGCACTTGCTAGGTACTGTGATGTACTATTCCCTCATACTACGTTTTGGATATTTAAAATTATCATGATGAAACTGGACCATTCAATACAAAAAGCATCGGTGTTCCTTATCATTTAGCTCTTATTCTGAATTTCATTACTTTTTTTTAAAAATCCAATATATACAAGTGTATATTTGGAAGTGAGGAATAGTAAGGAAAACCAGGTTTCATGGGAAATGAGAAGCAGTAAATTATATATTTGCTAGGAAAGGTATCTGGGTGATGTAAAATACCAGTACCACCTATAGTGTTAATTACAGCAGCCTTTTGGGTATTCTTCAAATGTGTTGGACTTCAGTTTCTATCTTCTGTAGACCAGAGGGGACATCAGGCTCAGAATGACATTACAGTATGTCATCATTCTCAGATGGGCCTGTCTGCCCATCTCTCCCCACCTTGTACCAAATGAGAAAGCAGCAAAATAAGTGTGGTTGCTAATGATAGAAACCAGAAGACTTGAGTAGGACACACTGCCACTCTTCCATCCCTCCATATCATCTCTGTAATTCAGTAGCATGCACTGTGCAGCCTTCTGCTTACGTTAACACAACTAAAGCAAGTGCCTTTGCCATTCATACAGTGACTCAGTTCACACATTATATAAGTTGTACTCTGGTGTATTTGGTTTTGGTTGAATGCAGTGTATGAACAAGACATTGTGGTTTGTAAAATGTGATTCATGGTTATAGCAGAGATCAGCAACTTTTCAAATGCTCAAAAAATAACTGTCATTTTGCATCTATACTGGTCTTTAAATTATGCTTCGCCAAATATGGAGCAATCATTAGGTGTAATTCAGTAATGAAAAACAATGTTTTTAATCTGGGACTTTCAGATGTATTGAACTTTTAGTTCTCATAATCCTTCAGCCAACATGGCTTGACTATTATCAGAACTGAAATCCAGCATGTTTGGAAGACACAAGACTGGGGGAGGCCTTTCTGATAAGAGGGGAATGATTGCTAGGTCGGATGGTCTGCTGTGCTCTTGTCCAATTGTCCAAAGCTATTCATCTTCAGTGCCAGCCATTCCATCCCATAATTTCACATCTGATTCCTTGACTTTGAGAGATTGCACTTATATTTGGTGGAGAAGTTTCTTCAAACTTTAAAATGACCTTTTTCTTCTTGGGCAAGGCTTTGTCTTCTTTGCTGCCCTCAAAAGGAGCAAATATTTTGTCTATGAATTTTATTACTATAAGTTGAATAAAGTAAGTCAGCACAATCCTATGCATGTCTACAGAGAAGGAAACGTTGTTGAATTAAATAGGGCTTATTCACCAGTAAATGTAGAAAGGATTGTAACCTAAGTTGTAGTGAAAACAATATATAACCAGTTGGGCATCGTCCCAATGGGGATTTTGAATTTTCAAGGTAGCTCATTCACTTGATGCAGATATTGTTTATAGAAGGCATTTCTATGGTTCTGTAAGTAAAGTTCTCTGACTTGAGAAATTTTGGGCTTCTGAATGTTGTTGGATTGTAGCTATAGTTCCAGCTGCCCAGGATAATTTGAGGCAGAAATCCTAGGAGTTCTAAGCCTGAAAAAGACCAAAACTGATGGGGCTTGAACTCTCTGGAAGATTTCCTTTGTTATAGAATGAACTCCTCCTCCTTTAATATACTGATACTTTTCCTCTTTGTCCACATAGGAGATGCAGATATTTCCTTTATTTGTACATTCATGTATACATCTTAATAAGTGTTGCTACATTTGATTTATGGGCGTTATGCAGTCCTAGAGATTTGCAGCAGGCTGATTGCTGGCTTCTGGCTGTATGCCCACTCCTACACAAGGACCTAGAAACCGTCAGGCTCCCATTTGTGTGTGCCATGGGGTAACCCATGAACTTGTGTGTGCATTACCAGGGTTGTTGGAAATAGTCTCTCACCCTAAAATACACTGCAGGCTTTTCAGTGTCCATTAAGTCAATTTCTATACAAATGCAGCTTACATTCAGTGGGCCAAGCTAATTATCCAGTGGCATAGGTATAAAAATATATTACTCTCCACTACCATTTTTCTACTTAATAGATTCATAATCATGATAAATGACACAAAAGCTCTACCACTGCAATTATACAAATCACTCCACCTAAAGTAAAAGACTACAGCTAAATATATTCATGTATTCCATAAAACTTACAATTAGGAAATGGTGGTTCCACTTTTAAGCTTTGTTACATCTACATTTGTTTCTACCACCTCTTTGTTTAGGTGAGGTGGGGACAAGAAAATCTCCATGAACCATTGTTTTCATATTTTTCATCTTGAGTTTTTTTTTGGGGGGGGAGGGAATGAATGGGGAGGAGGGAGAAAGAAACCAAGTTCTGGCCAAGAACAGCGACTACTTTTGAAAAGCCATTAGTCCTTAGGACACCAGCATTGAACAACTTTGTGCTACAGTTCCAATTCCACGAAGTATTAATCTGTCGTAGGGATGGTTATCGTTGAGAGGAATAGGACTTTTTTCGTCCTTTTCCTCCCTTCTAAAGAGGCCCCCACCCCATCCATGATATGGCAAGATGCCCCACATGTGGACAATATCTGTAGATTTTTTTTCCTGCTTTCTGTCTCTCTCGCTCTGAATACGATTTTCAGTTGAGTATTTTGTAAGATGTTGCAATGTTTGTCCTTGTGTAAATAAAATTGTTTCTGGCAATCTTCTGTGGTAAAAATCAATGTGTGGAGCTATCTTGCTTTCCCCCCACCCCCCTCTCCTTTTTTGATGTGTGTATCATCTTTAGTTTTCTGATTTGCTGAACCCCAGTGGAAAAGAATTCTAACATGTCTTCAGTATCCTGAGCCAGACCAATCTCTCTACTTCTACATTTGGAGTAGCTTTCTCCAGCCGGGTATCCTCTATGTATGTTAGACTCTATTTCCCATTACTTTTGGATTTGTAGTGCACACAACTGAAGGTCAGAAGTTTGGACTAGATCAGTGTTTTTTAAACCTGACAAGATGTATGGACTTCAGTTCTCAGAGTTCCCTTAGTCAGTCTGATGAGTGGTCCTTTAATATCCCAAAAGTACATACAAATTCCAAGTATCTAATTCTTGGCATGTAAAATCTTTCCCATGCAACAATAGGAAATCAATGATGGCATTCTGCTGTCCTACTCCATGTGTGACATTGAGGCAATAAGGTTATAATATAAGATGCCATCTGGATAACCATGAATTAGTATTTCTCATTTGTGGCAGCTTTATGAATATTTGACGATTATGGTGAAGCCCCAACCCCACAAATAAACATGTAGAGCTTTGATTGCCCGTGTAGTGCTTAGGCTTTTTCAATGGTGCTGTATTTTTGTTCTCTTGGAGAGAACTTCGGAAGGTGGATCATAGGATGGTCCGCTCCTTCATGATTTTGGATGAGCACTAGCACCTAAGTCTATGTTAGAAGTTATCTATTTGTAAAACAAAGGGTTAGGAAAAACTTTCAATATTGCTTTCCCACACATAGCATTGTTTATCAAATGTCTTCTGGCGTTCTTTGGTCCATTCACCCTTGGGGATTTTGTCTTTATTAGGTCCATGAGGGATTGAACCACAGTAGAAAAATGAGGTATGAACTTTTGATAATACCCAACTACTTTTTACTGTGTAGGTCTGTACACTTGGTCTGTAATTTGCTTTCTTTACCAGGCAATAAAACAGTACTTGGTCTTCTGCATTAAACTCCTTTGACTTTAAACCCTCATCATGGTGTCCCTTCTGTCCTTCCTTGTCTGTTTCTAAATGTTTCTGGGCAATGTGTCCTAGGGCTTTTAGCATATTCCTCTGCATTAATATATATTCTATTAAATTCTAAAAGCTTTTCAAATTTTCATCCCAGCCTTAATAATGTCAAACTCTTAAAAGTAACTCAAAAAAGCTAAATCCCATGGATACCCAAGGAATTTCCTAAGGTTATTGACCAGCTCCTCAGCAATTCTTTTGCTATCACATTTCTTAAAGAAATAGCTTCAGGATACCAAATTGCATAATCACAGACATCTAGTATATATTTGTTGCCTATACTGGATGTGGAAGAGGGTTTACAATGTCCATGGCTATTTTTAAAAAAGGAACTGGGATTAACCTACCGTTACATGGTAGGTTAGGTTTAGGGCCTGTCCTATAATCTAGCTTTACACCAATGGGACATCTTAGTCTGTCTAAACACATTGATAAGAGCAGAGGTGAAATCTGGCTGGATCTACTCAGCTCGCACGAACCAGTAGGGCCGGCGGTGGGAGACTCTGCCCACCTGCCGGGACGTCACTAAGGCCTGTTTTTGACCCTCTGCACATGCGCAGAAGAGGCATGCGCGAGCGTAACGTGTGTACACGCGCTCACATTTCCAAATTTCCACATTTCCGGTAGCGAAGTGTATTTCACTGCTTGATAAGAGGTTCTTTTCCCATAGATGCTGCCTTTTTTTTTTTTTTTTTACTAAATGAAGGCATGCTAACATCCTTCTACTCCCAGTATCTATTAGGCTTCTAATTAAACCCATTTTTTGCTGGAATCATTTTTCACCAGAAGTGCTTATATTACTGCAGACATCTCTTCCCTCTATCTTTACTATAGTGTTTTGACAAATGTTCACTTTTCTGGCAGTTGTTAACAACTATGAGTCTCTCTAGCTTCTCAATGCCTTCCTTTCATTTGGGCAAGAGCTAAAGGCTTTTTTACACATTTTTCCCTTAACCTTTCCAGCTCTTTATGGTTCCTATTTTCTAGAACAGAAAAAATTATTTCTCCTTTTGTATCTGTATCCTCTGAACTTTTTTTTGCCAGTTAATCCTCAGCCTCCTGCCGTTTCTAGGTTGTGTTCTTGAACCCAAAATCTTATTTTGCTAGGCAATGCTTGTAAAATTGTCCTGAAATTGCTGCCTTTTCTTTGCTTCTTTCATCTGGCCTCAACCATTTTCTATTTCCACAATTCACCTCTCCCTATAGGTTTAAGGAGTTGCATCATACCTGAATAAGTATTGTTAGTATTTAATAATCTTTAGTATTGTAATAAACAATTACTTTCCTAGCAGGAAGGCTACTATAAGTCCTTAGAGCTTTTCTGTTACACACAGAGCTAATCTGGTCACACAAAAAGTAGCAACAATTTCAAACATAGTAAAATAAGCCTCTTTCTCTTAGGGATCTTTATATCTTTGGGATCACCTCCCTCCTCTGTAAGTTCTAAAACCATAGAAGTCCGTTCTGGTGACTGGACCCCTTTGAGTAAGTCTATCAGCCCCATAAAACTCCCTCTTCTTGTTTCTCTTTCCGCATTCAAGCCTACTTTACTCTCCGTCTCTTTCCAAAGCTACTCCTCCTCTTTTTTAACTAAAGCCTTTCCTCTTGCTGTCGCTTCAGCATTTCTGTAATTCTGGCCCCTTTTCTGGCTTAACAGCAGGCACAAGTAGATAGCTGTCTTTACTGAAGTATCTCCAAGGAAAATCTGTCCCTTCTGCCTTTTCTATCTCTGTTTGTTTGGGGCAGCCTCTAGTAAGCGTTTGGTTTCTTCAGCCCGGATGTTGGCTATTATCAGCAAAGTCTGAGTCCTGCAAGGATTAAACTTCCTTTCGCAGCTAAGGTTTGTTTTCTTTTCATATTTAGTGAATTCCTTGGTCTGAGCCAATCCCACCTATCTGAATTCCACCTGTGTAGTTATTCCTACTTGTTTTGGATATCCCATCTTTTTATGGATATCCCACTAATACCTTTATCAAATTCTTTTAACTATACTCAGTTGGATGGGCTCAAGACACAAAAGAGCCCACAACAACCCAGTTCCTAGAGAACACACATAAGCGCTTGCATATTCACATACTATTACTCTTCTCCACAGCTACTCATACTATTCTTACTATTATTCCTTGTGAGAACTCCTAACGAAAAGTATCTTCTAGCTGCTGCTAGGTTGCTTTACTTCTACCCACAAAGACACGCCCTCTTCTCCCCACACCCAGCTGCTTCGCTGCAAAACTTTTATAGGCAACTAAAACGGAAGCAGTAGCACAGATCCCGGCAATCCTTAAGGTAGCCTGCTCTGTTTCGCGCATGCTCTCTCTCACTCACACAAACACACTCATCGAAGTGACCTTTGGTTAAAGATGTATAGTGCTAATTTATCAGGGGCACATTCCAGATAAAAATATGCTAAGAAAAACAATACACAGTCCTATAATTATTGTATGTTGTAAGTCATTTAAAGTACAGCACCATGTTAGGCTGCAATTCTATACACAATTATCTAGAAATAAGTGCAGTGGAGCTTACTTCTGAGTAGACATGCATAGGGTTGTTATTAAATTGCAGCCCATCTTGTGGTTCAAGGCAACTGAGTGGCCTACAGGGAGATAAAATAAATATCCAGACAATTATAAAAATGGATTAAAATTACTAAAAATTCAAACTAAAAAAAAAGAACCCATGGGTTTGAAGAGGAGAGGTGGGAGTGTCTTCTCTCCAAAGTGCACCAACCACCTCTAGCCTATAGTTTTTCCTTCAGGACCCCATGCTGGCCAGCATAGCCAAGTTTTAAGGCTTTTCCTTAAGGCTAAACGGGAGGGGGAAGATCTTATTTTCTATGACATTCCAAAGGGTGGGGCCATGGCAGAAAACGCTTTTCTTCTGTATCCCAGCTGCTGAAATTCCTATGGGATTTGCAGTAGGCCTCGTCTGCCAGCATGAGTGGGATGGTCCAATTCCATTGGGGAAAGACAGTTCTGCAGATATACAGGAGCCATGCTAAAAGAGGTAAAGGTAATAACCAACACCTTGAGTTGTACCCAGAGGCAGAGTGGCAGCTAGTGCAGCTCATGTTAACAGCGGTGTTGCATGTGCCACCCTTGGAGCTTCCGAAACTATGCCACTGCATTTTGGACCAATTGTAGCTACCGAATACTTTTCAAGGGTAGCCCCATATAGAACACATTGCAATAATCCAAGTGAGAGATGACTAGGGCATGAGTGACTGAGCACATAATTAATCAGTGGAACAACTTGCCACCAGAAGTTGTGGATGCGCCAACACTGGAGGTTTTTAAGAAGAGATTGGACAATCATTTTTCTGGAATGGTATGGAATTTCCTGTTTGAGCAGGGGGTTGAACTAGAAGACCTCCAAGGTCCCTTCCAACTCTGTTTTTCTGTCCCCCCCCCCATTTTGTCCATAATGGTCTGCAAGCTGCTTCTAGAAGTGTCATATGCAGCTTAAGAATCAATTATTATTGCTGATATTCCTCAATCAGTGGCATTTTCTGAACCTGACTTAGATGGTGACTTGTGGGCAGAAACAGGCTTATCCTGCAAATAATTTAAATTATTTCTAGTGGTTTTTACTACATTCAGTAGTAGTGGATTCCATTGGTTAGCAATGTATTATGTGACAGTAGCATTTCTTCTCTGTCCTGCCCAAAAGTTCTAAATTGGATCACTGTGTTCTCTTAGATACAAGAAGTAGCTAATGCTCACAGTGAGATTCAGCTGAACCAATTTTCGGAAACAAAAAGAGAACAGACTGTAAAACATAATTACAGAAAATAGGGACAAAATGTTGCAATATTCTTTCTCCCAAAAATGTGTAGAATTATTCCAAAATAATATCTAAGCACAATAACAAAAGCATATGGTTCACAAATGGGACCAGCCACAAATAACTGCATTATGGAGTGCTTTATTTAGGATGCCAAGCAACTGTGCCTTGTCTTTGAAAATACCACTACTTTGCAAGCATTTTGTGAAGGCTGCATCTTGAAATGATGTGTAATTTCAGAGGGTGTGCTTTTTTCTGGGGACTTTTAGGCCTGAAGATATTGTCCTCCTGTACATGGATGGATAGAGCCATGCTGAGAACAAATTACCTGTAGTAAAAAGACTGATAAAGGGCTACATAAGTGATCCTGCTTATATAACTTTTAAAAATAAACATACTTAAAAGACTGTTCACAAAATAGTGCAAATAGAGGTGTTCTCACCTCTTTGATAATCGGAAACCTTTTATTGTGTTTCCCTTCATTTGTGGAAATATCCAACTAATAGGTTTATTAAATATCATACCAAAGTATAAAATAAGCTCATACCAGCTACTCTGCACAGAATTAATCATAAACATACACATTATACAATCAGTTGAAAATATCAACTTGAACATCTTAATTTACTGCAACATCTTTTTAAACATTGCAAATCAGATATGGGATATCCTGAGATTATATTTCTCCATTGTTCGGTGGGCAGATCTGCCCTGAATCAAGTATGCCAGTGCAGTTAACATTTTCAATACCATCTGCTTGATTGTAGTGCAAAACACACGTGATAAGGAGACATAGCACACTAAGAGGGAAGGAAAGATTCCATTATGCCTTTTCTAAAAGAGGTCTCTTTATTAGTCTTCTGCTGATCTGAAAGGCAGAACTAGATACTAAACTTAATTTAAATTATAGGATAGAAAAAAAAATCAGTTAATCACGGTTGGATGGTTAGAATGGTTTGACAATGAACTCAAATGATTTTGAAGGGGATGGCTAGGATCTACCAGAAAATGTTGGACAGGCATATTTGGACACTGTTGTAGCTCTGGATTCAAAGCTCTGGATTTGGACACTGTTGTAACTCTGGATACGAAGCCCTTCCAATATTTCACGGATTTAAAAGAATTAATTTCTTCCTGAATAATTGCATACTGCTCTATGAAAGGGAATGTTACTATTCATATAGTAACCATTGTGAGGCTCCATGCTCACACAAATCAGGAAAACGTTCCAACTCAATTCCAGAAAGCAACAGAATATTTAGGAAGAGGAAGTTCAGCCCTTCCGAAGAGCTCTTCCCTGATGCTAACTCATGATGAACCAGCCAGCTTTAGAAAAATTGACAGCTTGTCAGAGTAGCCATTTTTGCTCTAGGAAGAATTTATCAGTCAGAAAAAAAAAAAAAAGTAACACAACGTATCTTGCCTTGGTTTCTTTGGGCTACAGAACTGAATAAGGATACGTGCCTTCAACAGGGATACTTCTAATTGCATCAAACAATGGCGAACTTTGACATACATGAAACAACAGTTTCTACCTCATTTTGGTAAAACAGCTATTTTATACTGGCCAGTGATAGGACTTTGACCTCAAGCTGTTGGCCAAACTAAGGCAAGACAAAGCACTTAGAATTACAGGAAGCTGCCCTATATAAAATTGAATTATCAAACTATCTAATTCAGTTTTCCATTGATTTTACTGGAGAACCTTTTCTAGCCCTCCGTGAAAATGCTGGAGACTGAACTGGAGATCTTCTGGATGTGCCCTGCAGAATGAATTTTCATGTTAAAATTTTATGATCTTGTGGGGCCATATCACTAAATGTTCAGGACCATATGTGGGCCATGAACCATGGTTTGGGTACGGCTGCTCTATATCTTGAAGGAAATACAGCATTTCCTTCAGTGGAAAGATCTAAGGAAAAAGAATAAATATTTCAAGGAAAAACCAGCTACTCTGTGTGAGATGGTATTCCTGGAGAGGCCAGTATTTGAATTGCTTTGGGAAGCAATGAAATTACTATCCATGGGAAACTGGCATATTTTACAAAATTCAGCCCATACCACAGAGCTACGCCTTGTGGTTGGGCAATACTACTTAGGAAGTACAGGATGACAAGAGACAGGATGGCACACCATCCCCTCTGAAGCCAACCAAGTCTCTCCAGCTTCAATTGGGTATAGGATGAAGAGTGGAAGGTCAATCCCAGTCCAAGGACTGTGGCTGTATCACGACACAGGGAAGCAAATGGGTATGTGTCCATGTGGATCCACTTGGGATTTTCACACCACTTCACAGCAAGTTTCATTGACCTAAAGAAGGAAAGAAATGAAGAGAGGCATATGAAACTTATCTTTTTTTTATCATTTCTATAGAAGGAAAAAATTGAAATCTGAGTAGTTCCAGAATCTCTCTGAATCTCTAAAACCACAAAATGTGGTATCCATGGGTAAACTGGGGTTTTCTTTTTAGAAGTGAATTCCTACAAATGTTTAAGTCAACATTCCTTTATTATTTGAATATGCCTGGTATTTGGTGGGAGATCTTTCAAGGAGATGTCAGAATTAAGCAAGGTCTTTAAAAACCAGTTAAATTGTTGCAAAATTCATCCATTGCTTATGTGGATGGATGGCTTCTTTTCCTCCCCTTCAAGCCAAGAAAGGTGTTAAAAAGTTCATGGTGGACATGTGCATGAAACAGGCTACAAAACAGAGAGTTAGTTTCCTTCATGTATTTATAGCATAATCAAAACAGCATTGCAACATCGCTTTCACTTGATGTCTTCGTAATGTTGCCCTCGTCTCATACTTGGGGCATAATTTAAGTCATCTTATCTTACTCTTTTCTGTGTGCACAACACCAGCAAATACAGAAAACAGCCACGATGACCAGCAAATAGGATTGTAGTGTTACAGGTAGCATGGGCTAGGTTCCACTAAGGATTGCTAGTTAAGAAAGCTAGCTAGTTAAGATATTTAGATAGCCTGTGAAAAAGAGGACCCCATACATTCCTTTGCACTGAAGGAACTCACCAGTTGAGATCTATGCCAAGAGTAATCAATGTCCAATAAATCGCTGTGGCACTTAGCCCAAGGGAGAATGAAGTCATCAGGTAGAAACGGAATCCTCTTTCCAGTGGGACCCAGGATTGAAGTAGCCAGCCTAGACTGATCCCTGAAGAGAGATGGTGGAGAAGGGAAGCTTCATTATAAACTACATCTATTGCCTAAATCTTGAGATGTTCTAAAGCAGAAGCCAGCAGCCTATGGGTAGCCAGGTCAGCAATCAGCATTTGGTGATATGGTAATTATCACCAGAAGAGTAGAACTTATTTTTAATTTTATTGTTGCCTTTTCTGTTTGGATTTTGAGATTAAAAACTGGAAGTCCCTGCCAAGCAAACCATTCTGATCTTCACTGTTCAATACCGTCCCACCTCAAAACTGAAAATCTGGAATCGCATCAGCATAATGCAACAATCTCAGAATGCTGGAGGGCAACTTGTGAGATGTAGATGGAAGAAAAGCTGAGTAGATGTCAGGCTTATTGTATCTATTTTGCTTTTTTCATTTGAATCCTGAGGCCTATCAGCCAGATTACTGGGTATCAAACATACATTCCGAATTTTAAAAAATGATAACCTTAGAAACCTGTGTGATAATCATGCTTCTACATGAAAGTCCCTTCTTGATTATCTCAAGCATCTTTTAATATATTATTTTTCAAACATATATAAGATGGGGTAGAGAATCATATTATGTCTGTTATGATAAATCAGTGGTGCATGAGGAAACATTAAATGACCTACCGTGTTTCCCCGAAAATAAGACCCTGTCTTATATTTTTTTTGAACCGTGAAATAAGCGCTTAGCCTTATTCCCATGCACTCAAAAGCCCGATTGGGCTTATTATCAGAAGATGTCTTATTTTGGGGAAAACTGGATATTATAAAACCATTCAAGGATTTAACTAAGATAGCCAGATGTTGCCACTATTAATTTAAGGAATATCTAATTTCTTCACCAAATTCATAATCTCATAAACTATTCTTCTATTTTATTCCACTGTAATCCTGTGACCATGTAGTTAGAAATAAGTACCATACTTTACGGAGTATAAGACACACTTTCCCAACCCCCCTAAGAGGGTGGAAATGTTGGTGCGCCTTATACACCGAATACAGCCATTTTTGGCCTCCTGAAGCCCAGCCCCACGCATCCCATTTTTCACAAAAACAGAGTGCACAGAGGCTTTGGGAGGCCTGCAGAGTGCTCTTGTGGGCTGGGGAGGGCAAAAACTTTCTTTTCTTGCTTACCTCTTCGAAATCTTCCTTCCCCGATCTCAGATTGTTTGCCCCAGCGAGAGCTAAGTTTTTGCTCGCTTTCTTTTGGCTGTGCCTTCCCTGGGCAGCGATGGCTGGGGCTGGGGGTGGGGGGCAGCAGAGGCATCAGGGCTGCTCCGCAAGCTGGGCCTCGAGGAGCATGGGAGAGTTGCGGCGAGTGCCAGAAGGTCAGAAGATGTGCTCCGATGTCACCCCGACACCTGTTTCCAGTACACGCTCCTCTGTCCCAAAGTAGAATTGAGTGGGGGGAAGGGAGCAGGGGAAAGAGTAGGAGGGAAGGAGAAGCCCAGCTGGCTTTCCTTGGGCGTGGAACAGGGAAAGACCCAATACCTCCTCTATGGCCTGCCCGCTGCTCTTGTAGTGCCTTGCACAGCACAGTGAAAGCGTGTTTCACAATGGGGGAGACAGCATCCCCTCCTCCTCCTGGAGCCCATTATAACACGGAGCATCTACCACAGCCGGGCCAGACTATCGTCTCAGGGCGGAGAAGTGCAGGCAAGAGTAAGAAGCGCCAAAAGAAGTCTCCGCGAGATGAGAGGCAAGTACAGGGGTTCTTCCCTCTCATTCAGAGCGAGTCTTCATCCCCGCCGTCGCCCTTGCCTTCTAGCTTCATTTATCTGGGAACCTGAAATGACTCTTGATTTTAAATCATATGGTAAAAAGCACCCCAAAAAGAAGAAAGAACATCAGAAAAAAAAACCAACCCTTGCCTGTTTTTGGAAATGGTTCAAGAGGAAGTACACACAGAGAGGGGGGGAGGAGGGAAAGAGAGGGCGGAAGAGAGACAGAGAAGAGAGAGACGAGAGAGAGAAAAGGGGAGAAAAAGAGAAATGAGAAAATGATGGAGGGAGAGAATGACAGGAAAAAGAGAAATGAGAAAGAAGAGGGAGAGAGAAAAGAGAGCTGGAGGGAAAGAATGAGAGAGAAAGAAAAGAGGAAAAGAGAAAAGGGGGAGAGAAAGAAAGGGAGGGGAGAGGAAAAAAAATGAAAGGGAGAGAAAGAAAAATGAGGGAGAGAAAAGGGGAGAAAAAGAAATGAGAAAATGATGGAGAGAATGAGAGGAAAAAAACAAATGAGAGAAAAGGGAGGGAGAGAAATGAGAGGGAAAAGAGGAAAAAATAGAGGGAGAAGGGGAGAGAGAGAAAAAAAAAGAAAGAAAGAAAAGGAAGGAAGGAAGAAAGGAAGGGAGAGGAAAAAGACAAAAACAAGGGAGAGATAGGGAAAGAGAGAGTGATCCATTTCCCACAGAAAACACTCAGAGCCACAAAACCCGGGTATGCATGGCTGGGGTGGGTCATGTGACTGAGTGGGAAGTGATGTTGAGTTGGCCACGCCCACCCAGGTTTTGTGGCTCCCAGTGTTTTCTTTTCTGTGGGAAACGGGTCCAAGTGGATCTTTGAGTGTTTAAGGTTGCAGGCCCCTGGTCTAATCACCTGTGGATTTGATATCACTTGGCTATGAAAGTTGCCAGTAAGGACAAAATTCAGGCAGAGGTGAATGCATCTTTTATGAAGGGATATTTGTACCCTGCCTTGAATACAGCAGAGTTAATGTCCCATCCTCAATAAATCATTGCTTAATTTGGGTGTTTTAGATAACTATCACCCAGTCTCCAACCATCCTTTTGGGAGCAATGCTGTAGAGAAAGTAATTGGCTGGCAGTTACAGAGAATACCGGAGGAAATGGATTATATGTATCAGTCAGGATTCAGGCTTGAATACAGGAGAGAAACTATAGTGATGGTCCTACTAGATTCCCAAGGAAAGTGGGTTTTGGTAGAAATATTTTCAATGAGATGTACTTTTATCTATCTTGAAAGCAAATTTCCAAAGAGGTCTTTAAAAAACCAGGGTGATATCTCTTAGCTTAGCTCATGTGTGGCCATGCTGTATTGCCATATACATGCAAACCAAGAATCTGGAACAGATAGCATACTGCTAACTTTCATGATGTACTTACCTGCCAAAATGCCACCAATAACTTGATGGGGAAAATGAGCAAGTATGAAGATGCGTGATAGTCCGATAAGCAGCAAGAGGACAAAATAAATAGTAAAGGGCACTGCCCTCATGATCCAACTGTTGAGGTGAAATGGGAGAAGAAAAATGTCACACTCAGCAGATGGATTGAGAATTATTTCTTTTGCCTCTCCCAAAGCCAACAGCCTTAGAAGAACCAGATCCCAAATTACAATTTCTGTTCAAATTAAGGAAAAACAGGATAAAGCATTTTTTACATATATGAGTGACAGAGATACACAGCTAAGGTTTGTTCTGCAAATGGAAATTCCAGTTCATTGATTTAGAAATGCCTTAAAAAGAATCAGGCATTCCTGCTGTCTTCTTTACTGGTAATAAGTTAGTAGAATCTTGATGGAGTGTGCTCACAATTGTATCAGCTGAATCCAGAGGATCCAGAAGCTGATATTCCCCTCCTTGTCTGCAAGCATTCACTCCTGGATTGCTCTTACAGGGGTAGGCAAATGTGGCTCCTTTACAACCTGTGGACTTCAAATCCTAGAATTCCTGAGACAGCCAAGCTGGGCTGTCTCAGGAATTCTGGGAGTTGAAGTCCACAGGTTGTAAAAGAGTCACATTTGCCCACCCCTGCTTTAGAGGACTAGTGAGGCCAACTCTACCAACAGAATGAAAAGAATTATAGGAATGGATCAAACAAGAACACCTTGTTGTTTATAATTCTTTTTTTTTTTTTTTTTTTTTTTTTATTGTAAAAGTTTTACAATTACATTTTCACCCCGTTTTCACCCCCCTAACCCACCCCAAACTCCCCATCCCATCCTCCCTAACCCCCCCTATCCCTCCCCTCCCCCCCGGACTTCCATAGAGTGTTCCCCATCATTATCCCCTTTATATAAAAAAAAACCCCTTGAACTTTAAACCCCCCCAACCCCCATATCATTTTTCATCTTCACATAGTTCAAATATTTCTATCTTAATGTAATATAATACTATCAATAAAAAGCTATTTGATACTTCCTAGTTTGATATTTGTTCTGCACATAATCTATCCATTTTTTCCATTCACATTCATAAGTCTCTTGTGAGCGGTCTTTTAAATATGCTGAAATCTTCGCCATCTCAGCGAAACTGGCCATCTTCAAAGTCCATTCTTGAACGGTGGGCAAAGCTGCATTTTTCCAATATTTACCTATCAACAATCTCGCTGCTGTAATCATATACAAAATCAACTTTGTTTCATCCACTGTAAAACCCTTAGCTATACCCAATAAGAACAATTGTGGAGAAAATTGAATTTTTTTCTTCAAAACATTCTGCATAACCCACCAAATTTTTATCCAAAAAGCCTTAACTTTCTTACAGGTCCACCAAATATGAAAATATGTAGCATCTGTACAATCACACCTCCAACATTTTGGCTGAACATTAGGATACATACACGACAATTTCTTAGGGTCTAGATGCCATCTATAAAACATTTTGTAAAAATTTTCCCTCAAATTCTGCGACTGTGTAAATTTAACATTCTGGACCCAAATTTTTTCCCATGTTTCCAACTTCACTGGTTCTTCAAAATTTTGTGCCCACTTAATCATACAGTCTTTAACTAATTCAGTTTCTGAATCCCTTTCTAGCAAAACATTATAAAGCCTTTTAATATGCATTGGACCTTTCTCTCTTATATGTCTAACCAATTCTTCCTCATGCAACATAATACCAGTTTTTTGGTCCTCTTTCCATCTCAATTGTAATTGATTATATTGTAACCAAGTTAAATTAATCCCTTCGTCCAACAGTGTCTGCAAATTCTTCAACTGCCATCTGCCCGCATCTGTAAAAAGAACCTCTTTGTATAAAAACCCCCCGAGTGACATTATATTTGTATTCCACAAAGTATGACCAAGATCCAACCATAGCGGTATTTTATAATCCCATTTGAGTCGGTGCTTCTTCCAAACTCTCATCAAAGAGTCTCTAAGTATATGACTTTTAAATATTTTATCAACTTTGTCATCATAAAATAAGTAAGCGTGCCATCCAAATTCAAGATCAAAACTTTCTGCATTCAATATTCCAGCCTTTTTACTTCCAAACCAATCACTTGTTAAAGTTAAAGCTGCTGCATCATAATATAACTGTAGGTTTGGAAGTTTAAGACCTCCTCTTTCTGGAACATCTTGCATAATTTTCAATTTCACTCTCGGCTTCTTCTCGTTCCAGACGAACTTATTCACTCCAAATTGCCAAACTTTCAATTGTTTATCACTTTTGAGCACCGGAATCATTTGAAACAAAAAAAGAAATCTTGGCAAAATATTCATCTTAACTGCTGCTATTCTTCCAAGTAGAGACAGCTGCAGTTTTTTCCAAGTCTCCATATCTTTCTGCACCTCTCGCCACAACACCTCATAATTATTTTGAAACAATTTCATGTTTGATTCTGCAACCTGAACTCCTAGATATTTTACCTTAGGTACAATCTCAAAACCTGCCCTCCTTTCAAGCTCATGTTTGCGATCTTGTGTCATGTTTTTAACTATCATTTTAGTCTTTTTTGGATTCAATCTGAAACCTGAAACTTTACCATAATCTTGTATAATGTCCTTCATCAAGATTATTGATTCCATTGGTTGTGATAGGGTAACAACCAGATCATCTGCAAATGCCTTTATTCTGTAATCCTCTTGCCTAATCTTTATACCTTTCAAGGTATTAGAGTCCCGTATTGTATTTAACAAAACTTCTAGTGTTAAGATAAATAAAAGTGGGGACAACGGACATCCCTGTCTTGTTCCTTTTTCAATTTTAAACTCTGTTGTCAAACTTCCATTAATAATAATCTGTGCCTTTTGCTCTTGATAAATTGCCGAGATCGCCTGTATAAATTGGTCCCCAAAGTCCATCTTTTTCAAAGTTTTTACTAGAAAATTCCAATCCACTCTATCAAAGGCCTTCTCTGCATCCAAAAAAACCAGCACTGCAGGGATCTGTTTATTCTTCTCAAGATATTCCAGTAAATTTATTACTTGCCTTACATTATCCTTCATATATCTGCCCTCGATAAATCCCGCTTGATCATCATGAATCACCTCTTGAATTACTGGCATCAATCTGTTGGCTAATACTTTTGCGTAAATTTTATAGTCATTATTTAAAAGAGATATTGGTCTATAATTTTCCGGTTTTTTAGGACCTACATGTTCTTTTGGTATCAAAGTAATATATGCTGATTTCCATGATGGGGGTATTTTACCCCCTTGTTGTATATTGCAAAATAAGTCTCTAAGTTGTTCCACCATTTCTGCTTGTAAAGTTTTATAATACACTGCAGTCAATCCATCTGTTCCAGGAGCTTTAGCTGTTTTCAATTGTTTAATTGCTGCAATTATTTCCTCAACTGTTATAGGATAGTTCATTCTTTCTTTTTGTTGACTAGTAATTTTTGAGACTCTTTTCTCTTCTAAATATTTTTCTATAAGTCCATTCTGTATATCATCTTTGGCATATAATTTAGTATAATATTCTACAAAGACTTCTTTAATCAATTTTTGTTGAGAAATTTCTTTCCCTCCAATGTCAATACTCTCAATAGTCCGTATACTCTGCTTCTTCCTTAAGGTATAGGCCAACCATCTTCCCGGTTTATTAGCATTACAAAACGTATTATGCTTCGCATATTGTAAATTTGTTGCAGCTTGCTCCGCCAGGAGCATTTGAAATTGATCTTTCAAAAGTTTTATAGCACCAGATATTCTTTCATCTGTTGGGTTTTTAATGAGTAGCTGTTCCTTATTCTTTATTTCTACTTCCAATTCAAGTCTTTTCTTTTGTCGATTCTGTTTATGTTTAGAATTCATATAAATGAGTACCCCTCTCATATACGCTTTACTCGCATCCCATACAATTTCGATTGGGGTACCCTTATTCAAGTTCATCTCAAAAAATTCTTTCATCTGTTTTTTAAGTTCTGTTATATTTTTTTCATATCTAAACAAATTTTCATTTAATCTCCATGACCTTCTCTCAGTTTTTCCCATCTCAATTTCTATCCATACAGAACTATGATCAGTTAAAGTTCTTGGAAATATCTTTGTTCTTTTTGTTTTAACAAGTAAATCATCTGATAGCAGGATAAAGTCAATCCTGGAAAAAGATCTATGTCTGTCAGAAAAAAAAGTATAGTCCAATTCTTTTGGGTTATAAATTCTCCAGATATCTTTTAATTCCAAATCTTCTTTCATATCAAAAAAAGTCTGTGGTAGTCTGATCCTTACTTTCGCCAAACTCTTTTTATCTAGTTTAGAATCAATTACTCCATTCCAATCTCCCATTATTAAAATAGATCTATAATCCCATTGCAATATTTTATTATGTAAAGTCTTATAAAAATGATCCTGTTGTTGGTTCGGAGCATAAATTCCAATCAGAAGAATTTGGCCAATTGCTGTATACAATTCAATTGCAATAAACCTACCACCTTCATCTGCTTCTATAATTTTAGCAGACAATCTTTTATTTACATAAATAACCACACCATTCTTTTTTTCCGAGTTTGAAGCTATAAAATGTGTTCCTAATTTAGAGTTTATCAGGTATTTGTGATCTTGAGTTCGAATATGAGTTTCTTGTAGACAAATTATGTCATTATTAAATTGTCTCAGATATGTAAATAACTTGTTCCTTTTTTGTGGTGAGTTTAATCCGTTAACATTCCAAGATAAAAGCCTAATTGTCATCTTGACCTTTCTGAAGCGATGAGCTGCCTTGCCTCGCTTCTTCTGAGGTCTTCGGCTTTGCTCCCCCCATAGCTTCACTTTGTGTGGTGCTTTTGGCTCCCCCTTTATGTTGGCTTACTTGTTGTTGTTTTTCTTTTATTTGCTTGGAGACTGCGCGAGTTATACGTTGGTCCTTAACTTCAGGTATCCGAGCTGGATCCAAAGCAGCATCTCTTGTTGACAAAATTGGTGAAGATTCTAGCAGGGATTCCTCCATAAGGCCTCCTCCTCCTACAGCTCCCTGCATTTCCACTAATTCCGTCTGCTTGGACTGTTGTTCCCGCTCATGCTGAAATTGCTTTTCCTTATCACATTTTATCTCCAGCATTGTAGATGTACGTGGGGATGATGATCTTTCTTTGAGAATATTATAGTAAAAATATTCCGCCTTCTGAAAAGTATTCAATCGGTGTCCTTCTCCATTGTATTTCAGAATTATACCAGTTGGGGCATCCCACCGGAATGGTATTTCTTGTTTTTGCAATTCATTCACTAGAAACCTATATTCTTTTCGATCTTTTAACATCTTAGGTGGCAGTTCCTTATAGACTCCAATTTGAGCTCCCTCCACTTGCACAGAGGAAAGAAAGGATCTTTGCAAAATATCATTTCTTATTCTTCTGTCTGTAAAATATATCACCACATCTCTGGGTAATTTTCTTTGTCTAGCCACCCATGAGTTTACTCTATAAATTTTATCTATTTTATAGACCACGTCTGCTGGATCAATTTTTAACAATACAGCCAAGGCATCTGAACAAATCTGTCTCAAATCTTGCCTATCATTTTCTTTTATTCCTCGAAGCCTAATAGCAAATTCCATGGATCGAAACTGTAACATTGTAATCTCATTTTCAACTCTCTGCACTTTATTGTCCACATCAACAATTTTAGAATCAGTATCCTTCATTTTAACATTTACTTCTGATTTAAATTCTTCCAGTTTGGAATCCACTTTGCTGATGGTTTCTGCCAGATCAGAAACCACATTTGTCAATTTGTCAGACACCTTGTCATAATTCTCTTTCATTGCCTCTTTGAATTCATTAATTTCTTTCTTCATTTCCTGTTGTGATTTTTGAAATTTATCATCCAGAGCCTGGGTAATAAAGTCCTTCAAATTTTGAACATCAAAGTCCTTTCCCTCACCCTGCTGGCTGGGAGGGGGCTGCTGTTCCGGCTTATGAGTGGGAGATCCCTCCCCTGCAGCCTTTCCTTCCTGTTTCTTTGAAGCCATTCTGCCACGTAAATTAACTTTTCTAAAAAAAGGAAGTCTTTTTTCCTTTGCTCCTCCACAAAGTCCTTTGAAAAAGTCCCCCAGATTTAACCAAATTAGAAATTAAGTAAGCTGAAGCAAACTCAGGTTTATGTTAAAAGGAATTTTTTCTTCCACTCTTCTCTGTTCACTTGCTACAAGCAGTGCTACAATGTAGCTTGTTCAAATAGCTTTGCAAGATCACTCTCCCTTTCAGCTCGTTAACGCTGGAACGGCGCCATTTTTTTTCAAGCCGTTCCGCTCACTCTAGCCTTTTCCCAAATCAAAAGTTCAGAAACAAAAAGTTACTTGCAGTTTCTTGGTTTGGGGGTTGAGGTTGTTTTGTAGTAAAATTATTTTTCATCAAATTGAATGTTTGCTGCAGCCGGCTTGCTCTGACAAGCAGAGTCGTCCCACGCCGTCCGGAGTCTCCGCAAGTTGAAAGGGAGCCGCGCCCGTTTCCTCCCCAGTAGCAAACTTCTGGGGGTTCACAGGGGCTCGACCTGCCTCTTGCTTCCCTCTTCTCCTCGAATCCTCAGGATTTAGGAGTTTTCAAGCCGCTCCCCTCACTCGGAGCGGCTCTACAGGCGGCTGGGCTGGCGGTCCTTCAAAAGCGACCGTCTTCGCCGGTGGCAGACAAACCCGGAACTCCGTTTATAATTCTTCAAATGCAGGGTTTCCTATCTATTTGAAAGCCAAGTGTTTTATTCTAGTTGGGGTATTATTGTCCAGTTCTGGCAATCTTGTTCCCAAAAAGTAGCATCCACGTTCAAAAATTACAGCATCTGCAGCCATAACAATCAAGAAACTCGGATAATTTCAACCCAGAAATATACAAAATATTTGCCATTTTTGTTTTTTCTGGGGCTGGGAGAACCAGGCACAAATTATATTATAAAATATAATATAAAAATATATCATAAGAAGTTATAACAAATGTGTACAGATTTTGACATCGCCTGATAGGAGATATAGGGATTTGGAAGGAAAAAAGAACTGGGATTTTCTCTGTCAACTATACAATGTTATGGCCCTGATGTTCAGTTACAATACCATCAACCATGGTATTCTCCTAGAGCGGCTTCGGGGGATGGGAATGGGAGGCCGTGTGCTATCCTGGTTCACTTCCTTCCTCTGTGGCCGCTCTCAGTCAGTGTTGATAGGAGGGGAGAGATCCAGCCTTCGCCCACTGCTTTGCGCCCACTGGTTCTGCAGGGCTTGGTACTCTCTCCGCTCTGTTCAACATTTACAATAGTGGCCAAAATTGTGGAAACCTTTTGGGAAAAGTGTATTTTCTAAAACTAGCTAATAACACCACTTTTTTTTGGAGTAGTACCATAAAATTATATATCAATGGAAAGATCATTTAATCAAGAATGCAATGCAATAACTTATATGAAGGATTTGCTATTAGAATAGCAGTTACAGCATAAAGAAGAAAAAATGTAGAAAAAATGAGATATACAAAAATTATCACCATGTCAGTTCATACTTAGTTGGGTAATCTTTAGCATGAATTACAGCCTTACAACGTCTTCCCATGGAGTGAACCAAGTCTTTTAGTTCTGCAGCTGTTATAATGTGAAACCAAGATTGAATGATTACTTCTATTAACTGGGTTTTATTGCTGGGTCGCTTCTGATTAACAAGTTTCTTTAGTTGGCTCCATAGATTTTCAATTGGTTTAAGGTCTGGGCTATTCCCAGACCATTCCAGCAGTAGAATATGATTATCTTGAAACTCCAAAAAAAAAAAGTGGTATTATTAGCCATCGAACCTCAAAAATACACTTTTCCCAAAAGGTTTCCACAATTTTGGCCACTACTGTATATGAAGCCACTGGGTGAGATCATCCGCCACCATGGGCTGAAGTATCACCAATATGTTGATGATACTCAGTTGTATGTCTCGGCCTGTGGTGAGTCTATGGTGGCTCCCTCTCTCTGGAACATCATCCCTCCAGAGATTAGAATGGCCCCCACTCTAACACTCTTCTGGAAGGGGCTAAAGTCCTGGTTCTGCCAGTGGGCCTGGGGAACCCAGAGCAGGATAGAGCCCATTATGAGCCGTGGTGGAGCAGTGGTTAGAGTGCAGTATTGCAGGCTACTTCTGCTGAATGCCAGCTGCCTGCAATTTGGCAGTTCAAATCTCACCAGGCTCAAGGTTGACTCAGCCTTCCATCCTTCCGAGGTGGGTAAAATCAGGACCCAAAATTGTTGGGGGCAATATGCTGACTCTGTAAACCGTCTAGAGAGGGCTGTAAAACACAGTGAAGTCTATAAGTCTAAGTGCTATTGCTATTGCTAAATACCTTTTGGAATTCTGGGCTATCTGTCTGGCCAGAATGCTTACAATTGGCCACAGGGCTGCACCGGTGATCATACAGTGGCCAGAAGGACTGCCTGTAAAAAAGAAAAAGAAATAAAATCCCTCTGGTTGCTAGTGACCATCCATGTAAAAGAGAAAAAAAGAAAGAAAGAAAAGGTAAATAATTATGTCACATAGTTACACATAGTGTTATTAAATTAATTATCTATGGGTAGTCCTCAAATTTCAACCGTAACAGAGCCTGCCCATCATGGTTGCAACTCATATCATAAAATGGATTGGTCAGATGACTGACCCGATTTTACAATCTTTTTTTGCAGTGATTGTTAAGTCAACCGAGGGTTTGCAATGGGTGTGATTTTAGAAAAACAATCAGAAGTACTGTATTTTTCACACTATAAGACACACCGGACCAATAAGACGCACATTAGCTTTAGAGGAGGAAAACAAGGGGGAAAAAAATCTGTCTCTGTCTCCCAGCATCCATCCAGTATTCATCTGGCTAGCATCCTTGCAGCAAACAACCTGGTCAGCTTCAGCATGTTATCAAGGCCTAGTCAACTGAGCTGAGATGCTATTGCTGCCAGGGAACGCTGGAGCCTTCGCTGCTGATCAGCTGATTGGTGGTTGGATCGGTCTCCTGGAATATTGCCGATCAGCTCTTCTAGGTGGCAGAGACCGCCGCTGCTGCCACTTGCCGCCACCGCTTACTGTCTATCGCTGCCGCCGCTTGCCACCCATCACTGCTGCCATTCGGCGGTGGCGATCAACGGTGATGGCAAACGGCAAATGGCACTGATTGACAGTATTCTGGGAGGCCAATCCAACTGCCGATCAGCTGCTCGGCAGCGAAGTTCCAGTGTTCCCCAATGGCGGTGAGCGGCAGCAGTGGTGACAGGTGGTGGCAGTGGTGACAACCCCCCTCGTCCACACCACAATATTCACTCAATAAGGCACAGAGACATTTCCACCCACTTTTTTGAGGGGGGGAAGTGTGTCTTGTAGTGCGAAAAATACGAAAAGGGCCATTTTTCATCAAAACCAGTTTATAGCCATAAACGTTGCTGAGTACCCAAAGTGCAGTCACGTGACTGCAGGGGTGGAGGTTGGAGCATCAGAGCTTTGAATCCAGTAAACACCCCCCTGTTCACTCTGTTGAAGTCACTAAGAGACCGGTCATAAGTTGAAGACTACCTGTAAAGTTAATAGGTAACTTCTGTTATCCCGTTAAGTAATTATCAATTAAAGTTGGACCATAAGAAAGACTGAGTGGGAAAGAATTGAGGCCTTTGAATATGATGCTGGAGAAGACTCCTGTGAGTCCCTTGGACTGCAAGGCAATCAAACCGGTCAGTCCTAGAGGAGATCAATCCTGACTGTTCTTTAGAAGGCCAGATCCTGAAGATGAAACTCAAATATTTTGGCCACCTAATAAGAAGAAATGAGTCACTGGAGAACAGCCAATGCTGGGAAAGATTGAGGGCAAAAGAAGAATGGAACAGCAGAGAACGAGGTGGCTGGATGGAGTCACTGAAGCAGTAGGCGTGAGCTTAAATGGACTCCAGAGGATGGTAGAGGACAGGAAGGCCTGGAGGAACATTGTCCATGGGGTCGCGATGGTTTGGACATGACTTCGCAACTAACAACAACAAATTATCAATTGGTTCATTTCATTGTTTGATTTTAATAATATTAATTATTGCCAACAAATTCAAACAGAAAGATTCTGTTTAGATGGGATGAGTTGAAAGGGGGATTTTTAATTTTAAACAACAGAGATTCAGTCCAGGGACCGGATCTGGCCCACGGGGTGCTTAGATCTGGCCCACGGGCCAACCTGGAAACAGCAAAGGACCAGCCCATGGTGCCTCTGCCATCAAAAACAGCGCTCGGGCCACCACGGACAAATGCGCTCCATTTTCAGCACTCGGTTAACAATCACTGCTATAGGTAAACTATTGAACTTTCCATGTCAAAATTGGTATTTCCTAAGACTGTGATGGCGAACCTATGGCACGCGTGCCACAGCTGGCACGCAGAACCCTCTCTATGGGCACGTGAGCCATCGCCCAGCTCAGCTCCACTGCACATGCACGCCTCCCACCAGCCAGCTGATTTTCAGGATGTGCGGGGCACATGCAGGAGACACGCACACATGCACAGGGGAAGGGGAAGGGGCTGGCACCCAAAGGAAAACAGGTTGAAATTAAAAGCAAAGTAACACCACCATTCAAGAACCTTCAGGACAGTATTTCAAGAGTGTGGAGACAGGGTAACATCAACTTTCAACACTTATTTTCCTTAATTCCTATTTTCTATTGGACTGGATTACCAACCTGGTCCTGTTTCACAACTGGATGGGAACTGACGGAAAAAAAAATCCTTCTTCTTGGAAAATCCAGATTCAAAGATCCACCAGAAGGGCCGTTCACCAAATAACAACCTTGGAAATAGGAGGAAGAGGAAATATATATAATTAAGAGCTGGGAAGAACAGTATCAAGACTTCCAAAATGCTAGGAAGTTTAAATTTACTTGCCATCTTATCTACTAGTTTACAATTGATAAGTATTCTTTTTCTAGTTTTATTGATTGATTGATTCATTTGATTTATATACGTCTTTCTTTAAGAACTCAAGGTGATATACATTAGATAGCACTCCCTCATCCACTATTTTGCTACAACAATCCAGCAAAGAATATTGGACGTAAAGAATGCAACTGGCCTACAGTGATTAAGAGACCTTTCGGAACTGAAGGTGAACTGGAACACCAGTTTCACCAGTTCTAGAAAATACTTCAAGCCTGCACCATTCTGACTAAATATTACTTTTTATCAGTGTAAGACCACTGACTCTAAATTTGTATCTTACAGCAGAAGGATTGTAAGCTTGTCACTTTGGTGAAGGCAGAGCTATCTGCAACCTGACATTGTTTTGTTAATTTCTACTGGACTTATCACAGAGAGAATCAGGTCTCACACCTATAACTAACAGATATCATAAGAATAAAGAGGACAACAGTTTCCAATTAAATCAAAGTCTCCTTCACATGTTAATGGAGAAGAGCTTCATTTTCAAACATTAGAATGCACACATAGAGCTTTTCACAGGCCAATGAAATATACAGAGTGCAGGCAAAGGTTGACAGCCATATAGAACGCAGGCAATGTACCCTACACTGCTCTTCAATCCATCTGCAACCTCTTCTAATGCATGGGTGAGAGTCAACTCAACCTTTTCTTCCAAGAAAGCCTATTCATGTATACAGGCAGTCCTCGACTTACAACAGTTCATTTAGTGACCATTCAAAGTTCCAACAGCACTGAAAAAAATGATTTGTGACCATATTTCACACTTACGACCTCTGTAGCATCCCCATGATCATGTGATCAAAATTCAGATGTTTGGCAACTGGTTCATACTTAGGTTGCTGTGGCTCAAGGTCATGGGATCCCCTTTTGCAACCTTTTGACAAGCGAAATCAATGGGGAAGCCAGATTCACTTTGTAACTGTGTTACTAACTTATCAACTGCAGTGGTTCACTTAACAATTATGGCAACAAAGGTTGTAAAATGGGGCAAAACTCACTTAACAAATATCTCACTTAGCAACAGAAATTTGGGGCTCAATTGTGGTCATAAGTTGAGGATTTATTATTATTATGGTTATTCTTTGGTGAGATTCACAGCCTTTGAGGCTGGTTAATAGCTTAGCAGCTCGAGTCCTAACCAAGGACCTAGGAACTGTTAAGGTATCGTCGGAGGATGTAAGCTGTTCCGAGTAGGGTGGTTTTTTGTAAAGTCAAAATATTCAAGCCAGTAAATTTTTATAATAAATTATTATTATTGTTGTAGTTGTTGTTGTTATTTACTTATTATTATGATTATGATTAGGGGACTGAAGACTAAAACATATGAAGAACGGTTACATGAACTGGGCATGGCTAGTCTAGTGAAGAGAAGGACCAGGGGAGACATGATAGCAGTGAGGAGGGAGGGTCAAGCTGTTTTCCAAAGCACCTGAAGGCCAGACAAGGAATAATGGATGGAAACTGACCAAGGAAGATTCAACCTAGAAATGAGGAGGAACTGACAGTGAGAACAATCAACCCATGGAACAGCTTGCCTTCGGAAGTTATGGGAGCTTCATCATTTGAGACTTTCAAGAAAAGATTGGACTGCCATTTGTCAGAAATGGTGTAGGGTCTCCTGCTTGAGCGAGGGGTTGGACTAGATGACCTGTAAGGTCCCTTCCAACTCTGTTAATCTGTAAGACTACCTGTATACACAAACTTGTATTCCAAGTTCTAAAGACTATTATAGTACTATAAGTCACCCTCCTCTTGTTCTTAATGGAGCAATTCTACTGTATAATTCTTTATCCTGGACAGAACAAGAACATTTATTCCATTAATGAATAGTTTCAAGTTTGTTCTAAGCCTTGATATTAATTCCTTTGAAAGCCAAACATATTTTGCTGCTCCACAAAATTCTATTAAACTTCAGTAAATGAACACTAATGGACTGTTGGTTAATAACAAATGAAAGCGCTTCTGGCTGCAATTCAAGTCATCCTATCCAAATACAGTGCAGCATGGGTTGAAAGTGGAAATTCAGAGAGTGAGTGAATTATTTTTCTGAGTACAAGCTATTACGAGATTCCTCACATAATAGGCTTCTAAAGGAAAGGCAGGATATACGTCTAACTAATAAATCTAATATTCCGATTCTTTTCATGGCTGATTTTCTGCTTCTCCCCACCATCCAGAATCACTGAATAGGTTCTTTCATCTTGGATTGTTTAAGTAATTACCTTAATTTAAAGTCAGTTCTCTTACATATTTGATGTTTGCTATGTGAATGCCGTTTCAGCCATAAAAGCATTCATTTATAAACCATGAAAAGGAGTTCTTCCTCTTTATAAATTGGAGGTAGCTCTATTAAATGTCCTCGATGCAGAACAAAGTTTATGTTCTGGGTTTAATTCCTGGATGTTGGCTCTTCCTTCTGTGTCACAAAAAGCTGAATCTATCATTCTCCATCCTACAAAAGCACAGAAGTTACTGTCTTACTGCAGAATCTGAACTTCCAAATAATACTGCCTTTGTTTCTATGAGTTCTTTTTGGATGCCAAAAATAGAATGGCTGGGTTCCAAACATTCCATACAGTTCACAGGAAAAAATCCAGCCCAATATTTTTTTACCCTTGCTTTTTCCTCACCATTTAGACGTCAAGTTCAGCCATTCTGAGATTAGGCCCAACCACAGCACCGTCAATCCAATCTTCTTATCCAACAGGAAGTAAGCAAGAGGGAAATAAATTATGAAGACACATTTGGGATCCCCGAAAAAGGTTACCCAAAGCCAAAAGTCCTCCAGTCCAGGCAGAGTACCCTGAAGCGTTTCAGCAAATTGGACTCCGCTAGTGTAAAAGATATCCATGGTGGTGAAACTGAAACAGATGAGAAGAATTTAAATGTGTTTCGGACAAACTCTTGCTGAGCCAATACATTTGCAATGCAGAAATCAAGCAACAATGTTGTTCAGAAGATAGTTAAACCATTTTCATAACAATAAAGAAGCAGCACATGATGATGCAAGCTCTCCTTATCTGGCCACCTTTTAGTTGTGTGAACTTCAGATTTCTCAGCAATAGCCATCTCCTAGGCCATCATTGAAGTTGTAAGTCAATGACAAACACCAGTGGCCGTTTTGTATCAAAACACTTTGCTGGGAACCTTTCTCCTGTATCCTAGTGCCAAAAATGGATACAACCGAAGCCATACCTAGGCATAAACCTAAACATCTCAGTCATCCTGCATGGATATCCTATTAATAAACATCCATTACCCTTTACCATTCATTTACTGTTATTTAAAGCTCCCCTCCTATTAACTCTCCCTATTTCTTTCTTTTCTTTTTTTCACAGACCTTGATACAAAATGGGCAGTTCTACAAATGAATAAAATTAAATAATAAAATAAAAATATAATCAGAGAGTTGGGAAAGATGAGGTAGGACAGAAGTATGTACTTAATAATCCGTTGCTATTTCACAAGTTTTCAGTGGATATGATGGCATTATAGGATTATTTGTAGGGTAAAAAATATCACGATGGCAGTTGTAACAGTAGGACACAGTACGACCAAAGCCACTATCTTGGCTTTTTTTTTTTTTTAACTATACTGTGTTTGCTGTTATATAGTCTATACTGTTTCCATTATAGAGTTCCAAAATTAACTCAAAAAATCCCAAAGTAATGATACAAGTTTGTAGGAAAATATGGATAAATATGAACTAAATCAAACAATATGCATAAATCACACAAACAAGAGGGAAAAAGAACTACATTAAGATGCAGAAATAATATCAGTAGTTTAACATAGTTGGATCTAAATTGATTATTATGTTTAAAATAATATTTTAAAAACACTTATATTCTCCTTTCCCCCTGAAGATGTCCAAAGTGGTTAACTATAGAAACAAATATACCTTTCTTTTGTTTTTAGTTTTTTAAAATCCTATCAACTGAAATATAAAATAATCAGATGATAAGGAATCCACATATAAAACATCTTGCAGCAACCAAGAATCTTAAAAGCAGCAAATAGCAATGTGAAAAGTAAAACCATCTCAGTGAAAGATGGGCAGAGAAAAATCCAGTTTATTAAATGCTATGGAGAAGATAATTTTAGTTAGAATAGAGTATTTCTTGAGGATGGCCAAGAAGGAAATTCCATTCTAAATTTGGGTCTGGAAACTATATAGTGGTCTTTTCTAATTTGGTAGCATGAAGATGTGTAAATATCCATTATACCCAGCCACCATGGATTTATGGAAGTTGGAAGAAGTATCTGTCTAGTAAGGCTGAGAAAGGCTGCATTAGAAATGAAAATTTCTAGGTTCTATCATATCTCAAGACCTAAAATGGACATCTAACATTAAAAACATCATCAAAAAAGCACAACAAAGAAATGTTCTTTCTGCGCCAACTCAGAAAGCTCAAACTGCCCAAGGAGCTGCTGATACAGTTCTACAGAAGAATTATTGAGTCTGTCATCTGCACCTCTATAACTGTCTGGTTTGGTTTTGCAACCCAACAAGACAGACACAGACTTCAGAGGGTAATTAGAACTGCAGAAAAAAACAATGGCTACCAGCCTGCCTTCCATTGAGGACCTGTATACTGCACGAGTCAAAAAGAGGGCTGTGAAAATATTTACAGACCCCTCGCATCCTGGACATAAATTGTTTCAATTCTTACCCTCAAAACGATGCTATAGAGCACTGTACACCAGAACAACTAGACACAAGAACAGTTTTTTCCCCAAATGCCATCACTCTACTAAACAAATAATTCCCTCAATACTGTCAAACTATTCACTAAGTCTGCATTACTATTACTATTAGTCTTCTCATCATTCGTATCACTCATCTCCTCCCACTTATGACTGCATGACTGTAACTTTGTTGCTTTTATCCTTACGATTTATGTTGATATTGTTTCCTAGTATGATTTGATTGCTTATTTGTACCCTATGACTATCATTAAGTCTTGTACCGATGATTCTTTATCAATGTATCTCTTTTTATGTACACTGAGAGCATATACACCAAAGACAAATTCCTTGTGTGTCCAATCACACTTGGCCAATAAAAAAATTCTACTCTATTCCATTCCATTCCATTCTATTCTAAAACAAATACCTTGAAATATATTTTGTTTGTTAAAGGGAGCCCTAGAAAAATGTATTTCAAATAGGTAGTTCCAGACAATTTATTTGTCACATATTTAATATATTGCAGCACCAATAATACCAATAATAATAGGCGACTTGGTGCAATCCCAAAACAACTGGAGTACCACTTGGAACATTATCAGCACTGACAAATTCACCATCAGTCAATTACAAACGGCAGCTAAACTTGGAAACAACTTACATCCTGCAATGACATCAACATCAATATCTGCTTCCCAAGTCCTTGGTAAGGACTCAATCGGTGGACATAAATGCCAAATCCAATTTGAATATCAGGCTGACTATGCAATGAACCATAATAAACATTATTTATTTCATTTTATTGTGTTTATTTTATTGTTAACTCAACTCAACTGTCCAGGAAACACAAAATTAAAACAGTCATAGCATGCTAATGGATTCACAAAACTTCACAGCTCCTCAAACAGCCAGGATGTTATGGCCTACCCCGAAAGCCATGCAGGTCTTGGAGGAAAAACTATTAAAAGTGGTAGCTTCTGGGATAGTGTTCTCCCCCCTGAAAACTTGGCTTTAGTTCCACCCAGGTCAGAGGTTGATATATTATTGTTTCTATAGAACTCTTATTTTGTTTGATTTGTGTTGTTCATAAGATTGTTTTAATCTGGACTGTTCATTTGATTTGATGTTTTATCTGTTTTCAAGGATTTCCAGTTTTATACACTGCTCATAGTCCCTTATTATACAAATAATGAGTAATAATAACTATTCCAGGGGGATGGAAAAGTGGCAGAGGATATGTGTTCTTTCAATAAGATGCACGCTGACCTGATAGGATTTTATGAGATGGGCCATAGGTAGGAATGGAAATGGCTTCGAACAGAAATATTCTTCCACTAAAGGGACAGATTTCCAATAGGAGAACCCTCATAAATAAATCTTCATCCTATCTGATTCATCTATGAAAAATGCTCTATGTCTTCTGTCCTTGACAGACCACGGAAGAACAGACCTGGAAACAGATATTTTCAATAGCTACCTCAGCCCTGTGGAATATGTAACCCCATTAAATCCATATTATCCCCGACACAACATTTTGTGGGGCAAGAAAGAGCATGGTGTAAAGTAAACATTTAGAGAGCAAGAGATTTTGTTAACCCTCATAAATGTTAAGCTCTGACTCCACAAACGTATTTTTCCAGAACAGAATAAAAATCTTCAAATGTTCTTCTGTCATTTGACAAGCTAAATACTTACAACCCAACAATTTCACTAGTATTTTATGGCTGATAGCATCAAAAAATCTAGAGATTTCAAGGTTGGAGAATTACCAGGAAGGAACAGCTTTGTTTTGTTCTGTTTACAGATCTTCCCCTAGGCAAGTGTTTCTCAACCTTGACAACTTTAAAATGCATGGACTTCAATTCCCAGAATTCTCCAAATATTTGAAATGCAGCATCTTAAAACTGCTAAGATTGAGAAACACCACCTTAGGGCAACCAAGATGCCCAAAACCAAGCTGAAATATCCACCTGCCATTTACTATATCTATTGCAATCAATTGTCCTAGTTGTTCATGCGTTATCCTCAATGATTCTTCAGAATAAAGTTCACAAAACTCAAAATTGCTCACCGTGATTTTTCCAAATAATTTCAGTTTTGAGAAGCTGGGGGGAAAAACACAGAGTGGCATACCCAAAGCATCACAATACAAGGACAGTTTTCACACTAGGAACTTCCTGATTCTTCTGGTGCTTTCAGTACACCACCATGATTTTCGGTATCCAGAAATCCTGATCTGGCAAACTTGAAAAGTCTGCATTAGCCCCTCTTCTCCCCAAACTACTTCCAGGATTTCTGGGAAGAGATTTATTGGACAAAGCAACGTAATCCCCTAAAGTGCAATCAGACACGCATAGGCTAAATTTAACATTCTTCGTCAGGAACACAAAACACGATGCTAGAAAATTTTCATGTGCTGACTGAACGTATATTGTATTACCCTCCCCACTCTCCCCAGAGCATAATAATATATACTAAATAAAGTTTTAAAACTGTATTTTAAGCATTATAATATTAGAAAGAAATATTAACTATTCTTTTTAGCTTTGTTTCTGAATTTTCCAAGATCGATTTCAAAAGATTTCCCTCTCTTTTCCTTTCTTTGCGATTTTGTCCGCTTTCACCATTGCTGTTTCGGTTCAATTACTCGTCACCTCCCCGTTACCTGCAATTGCCGGCTTCTGACTGTTCGCGCCATTGAACAACCAAACTACATTTCCCAGAAGTCTTAGTGATACGGACACGTCAGTATCCTGCTTGATCACCGGGAGAACAAAGGGACATTCACCAAGATTCGCGTAATCTTTCAAGTTGCAATTTTCACTAGATAGGTACTTATTACACACTTACTAGTTTTACAGTTTTATGGGTTAGATGTATTTCTGTGTACGACACGTGACACGAAACTCTTTTCTGCCATGTGATCTGATTTTTGCAGCTCCAAGTATATACACGAGTCTCAGAATACACGAGTCTCAGAAAGCCATGACCTTAAAATATCACTCCACTTTTATGAATTGGTTTGTTTGTTAGGATATAATTTTTAATTATATGTAATTTAATTTAAATTTAATGTTAATTTAATTTAATGTTAGGAGCCCTTCTCTCCGCTTATTATCCATTTTTGATTGTCCCATTCATGCATATATAGTATGCCCACTCACTCACACACAAACCTACAAAGTTGGAAAAGGGCCCCCTCCCCCCCAAAAAAAGCACATTCAAAAGTATCAGGAGATATTGAAAAATTTCCCTATGGTAAAGGAGTACAGTCCTGTACTGTACTTTGCTTGGAGATTTACAACATATATTTAAGGAGCCTGGTGGCGCAGCAGACTAAAGCACTAAAGCACTATTAACATCAAGCTGTCTGCAATTACTGTAAGTTCAAATCTCACCAGGCTCAAGGTTGACTCAGCCTTCCATCCTTTCTAAGGTAGGTAAAATGAGGACCCAGATTGTGGAGGCAATAAGATGACTTTGTATAAATATACAAAAGTAGGAAGGCTATTGCTTAACGCATTGTAAGCTGCCCTGAGCCTCCGGAGAAGGGCGGCATATAAATCAAATAATAAAAAAAAAAGACACTAATGAGTCATGAAAAGTATTATACAAAATTATACAGAATATAAAGAAATGGATATTTCTCTCTCTCTGGAAATTTCAGGAGAGCCAAAATGAAGTATTTCTTCAAACAGTATGTTTACCAAATTTAAATAGCCATCTATCTCACAAAAAGTGATTATTTCATTAATCATTATTAAAAATACAAAAGAATTATTACTGTAATAAAATATAAAAACACAAGGCACAGGAGTGAGTATTTACCACAATGATGGAGCCATCTTAAAATGTTGCTAATTCCCTGGGATCCCAGCCTGGTGACATGGTCAGGTCTTGAGGGACTTCCAGGGATGGAGGTAATCTCACTTTTGAGTGCTTGGGAATGTAGCTAAACATATGTAGCTAAACTCAAAGTCAGTCCTAGAAGATGTACTAAAGATTTGGAAGATTTAAAAAAGGAAATTTGACAAATCTAAAGATGACAAAACTTTGGAAGACCACATCACCGGTTGCTTATATATAACATACTAAACAATAAAATGGCTAATTGCATTTTAAGCCTAACATGTCATGTGACTTCAAATTGTACCGTTATTGTTTTGGCATGTTGTGCAAACCCAGAAAATTGATATTGACTTCATATAAAATTCTAACTTGCATTTATTCTGCTTCTTCAATAACTAATTTCAATAGCTTTTCTAAGGACTTGTTTTAAGGAATATATGTCTGCTGGGCATTGTAAAATTTTAAATTATGTTCATCAGAGATACATATGTAATTTCAGGAACAATATACTGAATTCCTTTTCTTTCACCTTTGCAAGGCTGACCACTGATGCCTGCTTTGCACCCATTTTCTTTAATCAAGGCTACCATATTTGGACTGCAAAAATCTGGCTAACAATTAGCTAGCAGCAAACATAGAATAACAGGGTTATAAGGGACCGTGAGGGTCTTCTAGTCCAATTATTTGCCCAAGCATGGGACCCTATAGTACCATTCTGAACAAATGACTGTCCAGTCAGTCTCTTCTTGAAAACCTCCAGTTAAGTTACAGGAAACATATTCTGTACAATATTGCCACCTACAGGTAGTTTTCAATATACAACCATTTGTTTAGTGACTGAAGTTATAACTCTGTGGAAAAAATGATTTACAGTTGGTCCTCCCACTTAACAGCCATTGCAGTGTCCCTGTGGTTACATGATCCAAATTTGGGCCCTTGGCAATTGAAATAAATTTTTGATGGTACAGATTGGGGTGTGTGTGTGTAATGTTGTCATCATTTGCAATCTTTCCAGTCTGACAAAGACATTGGAGGGATGTGGATTTGCTTAATGACTGCATGTTTCAATTGTGGTGATTTACTAAATAATTGAATGCTACATATGTAATTAAGTAATTGTACTGTTAAGTAACAACTGCCTTGCTTAGCAATGGAAGTTCCACTCCCAATTGTGATGATAAGTCAAGGACTACTTGCAGTGGTCCTCCAAATTATTAGACATCAATATACCAGAGTCTCACTTTCATGAAAAGCCAGAAAGTCACTTTTAATGTATGCTCCTAAATCTTATTTGTCCAAAATAGTGATTCAATTTTCAGAAAAAGTGCAATCACTTATCCATATTTCTACCAATTCTGTACATGTTTTGTAGTCAATGATTTTCTGTTCTGTTAGGAGTGCAAGTATAGTAGCAACCTATTTTATCCATATGTATTTCAGGATAAAATCTATTGAATTATAACTGATAATTTAAAGTAAATGCCTGTCACTGTCACCCTTCCATTTAAAAAGGTTTGTTTCAAAACTAATCAGGACTATTTGAAAGTTTGCTCAGATACATGGCGCTCTCTTGCAAAAATGAATATGTTCTATCCACAATAGATTTATCTATTATAATTCCATTAATAGAATATTTTAAACATGGAACTTATTTCTTTAAACATGAAATAGTTTAATCTATCTATGGAACTCAGTAAAAGGCTTTGCAACAAAAACATTTGAATTGATAATACTTTCTAGACCAACAGTTTCTTTTTCTTTTCTTTTCTTTTCTTTTCTTTTTGCTTTAATTTATATGCCACCCTTCTCTGGAGACTCAGGGCGGCTTACAATGCATTAAGCAATAGCCTTCCTACTTTTGTATATTTATACAAAGTCAGCTTATTGCTCCCATAATCTGGGTCCTTATTTTATCTACCTTAGAAAGGATGGAAGGCTGAGTCAACCTTTAGTGCTTTAGTCTGCTGCGCCACCAGGCTCCTTAAATATATGTTGTAAATCTCCAAGCAAAGTACAGTACAGGACTGTACTCCTTTACCATAGGGAAATTTTTCAATATCTCCTGATACTTTTGAATGTGCTTTTTTGGGGGGGGGGGGGGGGGGGGGGGGGGAGGGGGCCCTTTTCCAACTTTGTAGGTTTGTGTTTGAGTGAGTGGGCATACTATATATGCATGAATGGGACAATCAAAAATGGATAATATTATTGCTCCCATAATCTGGGTCCTTATTTTATCTACCTTTGAAAGGATGGAAGGCCTTGAGCCTGGTGAGATTTGAACTTGCAGTAATTGCAAGCAGATGTTAATAACAGTGCTTTAGTCCACTGTACTACAGGCTTATACAGGTATAGAAAAAAGTTTCTATACTTTTTCATAAATTTCATTCTATTTCTTTGGACATTTGCAAGCTGTCCAAAAATGTTGCTATAATAAATTAATTGTAGTATTCTTTCCGAACATATGTCTATCTCAAAGGGGATAGATGGAAAATCCCAAGCGTTGAGCTAGGATTGCGAAAGCTACAGTTGAAAAGGCTTAAAGGCATTGGAGATTCAGATCCACCTTTAGAGACCGGATAATTTGGGGCCAGGGACTATTTCGCAATCCAAGACGATTGCAGTCGTGAAATGTCTGGAAAAGAGCATGCTGTGGTCACCATCTTAAGCTCCTGGAGGAATGACAAGTTATTTTAATGTAAATTTTAATTTGCTCTTAACCTGGGGTTTTAAATTTGTCTTGGGCTAAATTGATTTAATTCGATTTTACTTTTGTTCTTAATTTTTGTATTTTACGCGTTTTATTCTGTGCCTGTTCACCGACCTGAGTCCTTCGGGAGTAGGGCGGTATACAAATTAAATAAAATGAAAAAAAAAATGAAATGAAACTAAACTAATGAAGGGTCCTCCTAACTTTTTCATCTGAACTAAGTGGGAGTTCGATTTATTCGCCCCCAAACAGCAATGCATCCCTAGGGGCGATGCACTGACCGTCCTCCACTTTGCAGCCCACCGTAGGCAGTTTTACTGCAGGTTAAATTTAACTCCCCAACACGTCATCTGCAGCCTTTTCAATTGAAATGCAGGCGTGCTTCCTCAAGAAAGAGCCTCTACTAAGCAGTCCAATTTCTCTCGGTTCAGCGGGCTTAGGATCGTAGCCGCGCTCTGCATCCCCTCATTGCTCTCTCTATGGTCTTTTATTGAGAACAAGTTCATTCAAAATTTAAACCAGGTTTACTTCAGGGAAAATATGCATAAAACGCCAGCTCCGATTCCCAGCTCGACCCCCACCCCCACCCGGGAGATTCGCCGGCTCAGGACCCGCCCCTTCCCTGACGCTCCGCCCCCTTTTAACCGGCCTCTGCTCCCCGTGGTGTTCTTTCCAAACGTTGGCTGGGGATTCTAGCCCCGCCCTAGGAAGGAACCGCCGAACAGCCAGCCAACCGCCCCTCTCTTTGCTGGGTGACGTCACGTGCGTGCGTGGGTGCGGGAGGGGCTGACGTACAGGCGGGGCGCAGTCGCCTTGGCCACTCGTCCTTTTTTTTTTTTTTTTCCGCCTAGGCTGAGAGGAGCCAGGTGGCTAAAAGGGGGAGAGACGAGCGCATCGGGCCCGGTTTGGCGCGCCGGGATCGATTTCCGCGCTCCCTTTCCCCGCGCCATTCCTTCT